TGAGGTACGCTCCAATGATATAAAATATCAGAAGGTTCAATCACCTCTGGTGAAAGGCATAATTGCCTCGTCACGTGCTCTTGAGAAAGTGGACGGCCTAAAACAATCGTTATCTAAAGATACTGATGAATACGACGACGTGCTGGGGAATATCGCCGAAATGGTATATGAAAATATACTTTTCTGCACGTATGCGAACCTGAAGTTGAATATGCGCAGACGAGAATTGTTCAAAAACGAAATCAACCAGGGTTTTAAACACCTATGCGCAAAATCCGTCCCAATCACTCAGTGGCTATTCGGAGACGATATCTCGAAACAAGTCAAGGAAATTTCCGAGATGAATAAAACCCAACTGAGAGGCGTTTTCAGTAACCGAGGTCGTGGTTACCGTGGAGGCTATAAAGGCCGTGGTCGTGGACGTGGAGCCAATAACCATTTTTTATTAGACTATATCCTATTTAGTCTGAATTATATTCAGACTATAAGGCACCTATGTTAAAGTTTGGTAATTCCAAATATTTGTTTACATAGGAAGTGCTATTCAAAATGGCCGATTGGGTAAAATTAATTTGCACATTTGTTATTTCAACTAGCTTTATTTCCACTAGACAATATGCTGTGTTACTTTTTATTGCATTTAATTCTACCTTACTATTTAATTGAAATTTTGTAATGTTTATTTTATTGAAAAAATGTTTCCTCCAATTGATAATTTTGTGCAAAAAATTTCACTGCAATTTCCACAGGAAAGTAGTACATCATAACAGACTGACTTCTAGTCAGTCTGTTGGATACATACTACATTTTTTATGGCAAGGCGACAAGTCAAACACCGGTCAGCGGAATTCCTACAAAGGAAATGGCGCCAAGAGAGGCAAGTGGTCAAAGACCAAGTCCCAGAACAAGTCGTCCCAGGACCAAGCTGCTTCACAGTAGAAGAGCCTATCAAGATTGACACCGAGCCTGAAAAGGTAAGATCAATTCTATATAATTCAGTCAAAGAATTTCAAGGTGGTCGTCTCAAACAATTTATGCATGAATGGCAATTGTTGACGTCAGACAAATCAATCTTAAATGCAATTAATGGCTATACAATTGAATTTTGTAATGATGATATTATACAAAATCAATGGGCTCGAAATTCAAAATTCTCTAAATCTGAGAACGAAAACATGGATATAGAAATCAATAAATTTCTAAAGAAGGGTATAATCATCCCGGTTAATCACTCAGAGAGAGGTTATGTTTCACCTATCTTTCTTACGCCCAAACATGATGGATCAAAAAGAAAAATCCTCAACTTATCTGATTTAAATAAAAACGTAGAATATCATCATTTCAAAATGGAGAATCTACAGCATGCTATTGACATTTTGTCACCAAATATGTACATGTCCTGCGTCGACGCTAAGGACGCTTATTACAGTGTTCCCATTGCTTATGATTCTCAAAGATTTCTGCAATTTGAATGGAAAGGCCAATTGTATCAGTATACATGTTTGGCTCAAGGGCTGAGTTCCGCTCCTAGAATATTCACTAAAATAATGAAGCCTGTGTAAGCTAAATTGCGAAATGAAGGTCATTTGTCAGTAGCATTCATTGACGATTGCTGTTTATTTGCAGAAACCTATGAACAATGCAAGCAGAATTTGTTTGACACGATCACATTGCTTCGAAAGCTTGGCTTCATAATCCACCCTGAGAAGATGACACTAGAACCTACACAGGTAATAACGTTTCTTGGATTCATTTTGAACTCTGTCGAAATGACTGTAAAATTACCACCAGAAAAGTCTCAGACACTCAAAAAATTGTGTAGAAATATGATATCACGTGATAATTGCACTATTAGAGAAGTTGCACAAATCATTGGGAAATTTGTTTCTTCTTTTCCTGGAGTTCAATATGGTCAATTGCACTACAGGAATGTTGAACGAGATAAAACATTGGCTCTGTCCTTAAATAAAGGCAATTTTGATGCATGCATGATTTTATCTGAAGCTGCTAAGTCTGATTTACAATGGTGGATAAATAATGTTGATACTGCTTTCAGATCAATCTCAATTCCAGAACCAATTGTCTTTCTGAGAACGGACAGTAGTACCCTAGGTTGGGGTACATTTGATGTTGTTAATGATGTGAAGACCGGAGGCCGTTGTCTATGTCTATGTCAATAATTGGTCAGACGAGGAATCTAAACATCATATCAACTATCTTGAATTACTGGCTATATTTTTAGGTTTGAAATGCTTTTGTAAAGCACATTCCGACATCCACGTTCGTGGACAAACGGACAATACCACAGCTCTTGCTTATGTTAACAAGATGGGTGGAATGACATCACCAGATTGTGATTTGTTAGCAAAACAAATTTGGAATTTCTGTATTTTTAGAAAAATCTGGCTGAGCGCTGCATTCATTCCAGGGTGTCAAAATGTCGAAGCCGACGCAGAATCCAGAGTGTTTCATGATGAAACGGAGTGGATGGTTGATAAATCGGTCTTTGATCGTATTTGTAATCTGCCAAACTGGCCATCACCAGTAATTGATATGTTTGCATCTAGGTTGAATCACCAGTTGCAACTTGCCACGCTATGTCTCTTGGAGACCTGATCCAAATGCTGAAAACGTTGACGCATTAAATATCAAATGGGATAATGAATCAATCTATGTTTTTTGTCCTTTCAGTTTAATCACGAAAGTCCTGCAGAAGATAGAATGCGAGGGCCTGACTCACGTGATCATCATCGTTCCGATGTGGACAACGCAGCCGTGGTGGCCAAAACTTCTAAGAATGTTGATCGACCCCCCGGTGATTCTACCAAAACGTCAAACATTACTGACATTACCGTACGATCGGACCAAGGTCCATCCACTTTGGAACAAGATGAGTTTGATCTGTTGTCTTTTATCAGGACATCAATCGAAAGACAAGGCGTTTCGAAGGACACTGCAAACGTTATTTTACTCTCGTGGAAAGCGGCATCCAAGAAACAGTACTCAGTGTACTTACGTAAGTGGGTACTCTTCTGTCGTCGACGGAATTACGATCCCTTACACGCATCTTTGAGTTTGGGACTTGATTTCCTTACGTCATTATTCAAAGATAACCTAAGTTATAGTGCTATTAACACTGCAAGATCAGCACTCTCTTTGATCATGTCGTATGACTCTGTGACTTTTGGATCCAATCCTCTCGTTTCCAGATTCATGAAAGGTGTATACAATGATAGACCTCCTTTAACTTAATATGACTCTACTTGGGAGGTTTCTACTGTACTCAATTATCTTGAAACGCTATCGCCTAATGAAACTTTAACACTTAGAGATCTTGCGATGAAATTAGTGACATTACTAGCCTTAGTCACAGGACAACGTCGACAAACTCTACATTCACTTGAAGTACATAACTGTGTTGAAGAAAAAACTTGTTACAAACTCTTAGTATCTAAATGTCTTAAGACATCCAAATGTGGTAAAAGTTTACCTGTTTTAACATTGCCTAAATATGGGAATACACGATTATGTGTATGTGATGCATTGAAGAATTACATTGACCGCACGGACACTCTGCGGGGTAATGAAAAACAATTATTCATAAGCTGTCAAAAACCATTTTCTGCAATATCTTTAGATACTATCAGTCGTTGGATTAAATGTGCATTAGAAAAATCAGGCGTCAATGTACAATTATTCAAACCACATTCAACACGTTCTGCCTCTACTTCAGCAGCCCTGAGGGCAGGCAGTAGTTTAGATTCTATTCTTAATGCTGCAGGATGGAGCAGCAGTGCAACGTTTGCAAAGTTCTATAATAAGCCCTTACATTGTAAAAATGACAAAAGTCAATTTGGTTTAGCTGTTTTAAACTCGGCTACTACATGTAAGTGATTATTATATTCTTCATAGTAACACTTATTAGGCTCTGTGTCAATATTGGCGTCGTCATTTTATGACGTTTTTGTATTATTTGCATTTGATTGTTTAATAAATAATGAATACCTCATTATATTATGCCTTGTTCTATGTGAAAGTGATTGATTTACATTATAAAATGTCTTGTCACATAGTTTGTTTGATGAATGTGTCCATCTGGGCTTTAAACATCTCACGTGATCTCCTTGAATATGTAACATGGTAGAATTGGAAGTTAAACGAGCCTTTGGAAAAGGTGAAGTTTGACTGGAATTCTACCTGTTACATTGATTCAAGGAGATCATGTGCCCATACCCAGAGACTACCCTCCCTTTATTATAAGCTTACTCCAGTGTGTGGTGTGAACTTTAACATACTTTATATACCTATGATTAAAGTATTCTAGATCACAAACGTAAGTCAAAATAATTTCAGAACTATTGAATTGAATTCACGTTTGATTTATTCATCTAGACACATTCATCGTTAAAGGCTGATTACTTATTAGTCTGTTGCGTGCGCAATGCTTTCTCACATGATCTCCTTGAATCAATGTAACAGGTAGAATTCCAGTCAAACTTCACCTTTTCCAAAGGCTCGTTTAACTTCCAATTACATGATACATTTATTTTCATAGAAGTGTCGCCATCTTTTAAATCAACAGTAATTTAAAACATGCGCTACATGTGCATGCATGTCTAATGATCTCTGAACTTCAAATGATTTTTTCTATGTGAATTATTTTTTTCTTGGTTCAATATTAAAGCAAATCAAACTTTGTGTCATATTTGAGCAAGTGTGTGAGTAACATGTTTCAATGATTTTTTTCTTCTAAATTAATAATGTGAACGGATTGCAATGCCCTAGAGTAAAATAACCGCAAAACAGTACAGAAAAAGGAACGTAGGTCTGAGAAAATTGACCCCTAAGACACCATTGTGTAATGCAGATCATATAAAGCCTCCGATGTCGTGTCGTTCCGTTTGGAACACAACTTAAGCCCCGGGTATTAAGCCCTTGAGTGGAGTGGAGTAATCGACTTTTGGGCGTTTCGTCCAGTACCGTAAACTCTCCAAGGATCTCTCGAGACTTCATTCCACGTGAAAGTGGAAGTGCTGCCAAGTTTCCAACATAACACTGGAATACCAGTTAATATTAAGGAAATCATGCCTGGAAAACTACAAGACACTAAAGATAACACCATGGGTGTTCAAGAAAACCAAGAATCAGTAGCAAAAACATCAAAAAAGGGCAAGAAAGAGAAGGTAATATTGACAATTTATGCACTCTACGATACGGATATTGACGATATAGGCCTAGGCCTAGATCTACAGTAAAATTTTAAATGTTTGTGAGTACTTTGAATTTAGAAAATAAGCAATCAAATGACCAAATTGAAACAGTATATGTAAAAATAGAAACATTTATATTTATCCTAACTTTTGTATATTTCAGATAGTAATGTTTAATATGCAGCAAAGCTGTGGCCTTTTGTAATTTAGAAAGTTTCAGCCATGTTAATTTTTCCGAAAATAACATGGCAGAGAAGTATCAAAATATAAGAGGACACAGATATGATAGCCAAACTACAAAACAAACTAAAATATACAAAAGTTGGGATAAATATAAAGGAAATAAAAATGTTTCTATTTTTACATAAACTGTTTCAATTTGGTCAATTGATTGCTTATTTTCTAAATTCAAAGTACTCACAAACATTTAAAATTTTACTGTAGTAGATTAAATCTACTTTTTTTATAGTACATATAGTACATTATTGGAAAGTCTAGATACACATCCCCAAAGTTTTGTTTATTTTACATTTTGTATATACTACAGTGGGGAACATAAAGAATTACTATAGCTTACTCCACTGAGCTGACAGAAGTCATCTTGGAGGCTGGATTGAAAATTCTCGAAGAGAAAAAATCGAGCCCATTTTGACAGTACTGTCAACCCCCAAAGATTTTCTCGCGGGACAGATTTTTTAGATCCAGTGCCCAAAATTCGCGGGATTTTGCGGGACATCTCCTAAATTCGCGGAATTTCGCGGGACATTTAAGGGATTTGCGTGATTGCGCTTATAGGCCAATTTTTTTTTATCAAATTCGCGGGATTTCGCGGGACCATTCGAGGGACAAACACCCTACTACTTTTTTCAAGGCCTGACTTCGTCGCTAACATGCTAAATATAATAGTTAGCTGACGTTTGGGAGTCTGACTTACCTTCTAAAGGTTAGAACCCGAATCTTAATGAAACCATATCACCTTTGTTCCGTCAACCATGGAGCATTTGCCACAACATCCAAGAGGTAAATCATGGACCGAGAAAATGAATGATTTCCTCGTAAGTTCCGGAAGTTTCAATACGAAAAATTACCGAACATATATGAAAACCGAATATTTGTTTGTTGTTTTCACGATTTACAGGTTCGTATGTTCTTCAATGTTTTGGTCTAAATTATAAAGCATCACCAACAGGTCTTACTCTATTAATTGACTAATACAGCAGACGGCTCATATTTCTACGTAGCATTTCGTTCAGACCAAAAGTGGGAGTGTAGATCACGCAGTTTCGTTCGTTGCGTACTTCACTTGAAATTGGTAATTTTAAATATTGGCTACTTCACTTAGCATGGCGGATGTAGAACATTGCTTAATATTCTTTTAATTTTCACACCAGACATGTTTGGTTGACACGTCAACAAAGTAAAGTTCATGGGTCAATGCGTTATTTCGTGATAACTACAACGCCTTCCCGGAAGTCAACATTGATGAAAAATGAAAAAGTCGGAAAAGCATTTACACTAATTTCTATCAAATGCTATGTTTATACATCATCATCGACGCAACAAAGGTGATATGGTTTCATTAAGATTCGGGTTCTAACCTTTAGAAGGTAAGTCAGACTCCCAAACGTCAGCTAACTCTTATATTTAGCATGTTAGCGACGAAGTCAGGCCTTGAAAAAAGTAGTAATTGCGGGACAGTTAACAGGTTTACCACCAAAAACTTCATAGAGAGACAGATTTTTTAGACAAAGTGCCCTAACTTTGCGGGATTTCGCGGGACATCCACCTAAATTTGCAGGATGTCCGGGGACATTCAAGGGATTTGCGTGATTGGGACTAATGTAAAAGCGTGTAAAAGTACTTAAATCAAACTTTCAGATACTGATTAATCAAATATAATGCACGGTTACATTGTAACTTAAATAAACGTCAACATAATTTCACAAAATACGCATCGGAATACTATTAAACTTTATTGTAATTTATCAAAAACAAAAACAATGCTTCAGGTGTGAGTATCGTAATCTTACACGAAATTAAAAAATTCGGAACAATACTTTGCACTTCTGGCGTCGTGCCCAACTATGAAACGCTTACCCCCATAATGTACCTATTCATATACTGTAGGCATGGGCTTTCAATTGAATTAGCAAACGCGAGTTACAATAAATGGACGCTGATATCTAGAAAGGGTTTGTAGAAAAAAACGGGTACCGGGTAGTAAATCCTCCATGCTGGGTTCAAACTTGGTACCCGGTCGAAAAAACCGGGTACCCAAAAAACGAAATATACGAATATACAACATAATAAGATCATTAGAAAACGTGTAAGATTTGTTTTGAATTTACAAAAATGTATGTAACTTCCTTCAAAATTGAGCTAGAAGCTTCAGATAAAAAGCATTTTAAGGCTCTTTTCTTCCTCTATCATCATGGTCATATTTCCATTGGTAATGAAGGGGGGGGGGACGATTTGAGTAACAAGACAAATCAATTTTACTCTATTTTCAATAGTTCGTTTGATGGTACATGAATTGTTTTGATTATGATTTAAATCTGTAAATAGCTATCGTTGCTTTAGCAGAGAGGTGACGTGTGTTAATTTAGGAATGTACTAAAAACCCTTCGACCTACGACCCTTCGACCCTACAACTTACTGGGTGTCAAGAATTTTTGGAATATATTTTATTGAAAAACCCTTGGACCTCTGATTTCCCAGTCCAGTTTACTAAATGATTACGTATAGTTCCAACTTGAGCTCCCTGTGCACGCAAATACGCATTTTACCTGGTAATTGTCAAGCAAAAATGTTTCAGTAGAAAAATTTCTAAAAAAGATTGTCTACACAGCAAAAATACGAACGCCGAAAAAAAACGTACGCATTTCGTTCGGACTTTTCACGCGAATTACGTATATGTCACGCATTGCGTTCGAAATTTTTCGTCCCTACCCCCCTAGTATGTTGATACTCATAAGCATGGCACATTGGCCAGGTGGCCATTTTGAAAAGTGGCCTCTACAGTATTTTAAAGTCTTATTTTACTTTTTTACTAAACGATTTTGAGATCAAAAGTTCGATGGGATTTGCTCCACCTCGCGTTGCTGTTATCTAGTTCTGAAATGTTTCATATCTATGTCTAATAAATATAGTTGTATAGATGTGTTTGTAATAACCTTTATGCCCTTAAAATGTATATATTCAGGGGGGGGGCATTCGTGGGTTCAAGTGGACCACTCCATTGGCCAAATATTCTCTCAAAATCAGTACAATTTTTCACGATTCTGAGCATTTTCAAGATTTCTGGGCCACTTGAAAATTGTCAAATGTTCACCCCTTGATCCTTTTGAAAAACTTAATTAGCCGGGCCTCCCGCGCGTTAAGCAAGCATTCTACCTCTAGACCACCGTGATTTAATGAATGGGGGAAGTAATTAAACGCTAATTATTTTGAATGCTATGATTCGGAAGTGACGTCACGTTCTACGCTGAAAGTCGTATGTCGCAGGGTCGAAGGGTTTTTAGTACATTCTGTTAATTTACATGATGCAACGTGTAAGATTTTGATTATTAATCATAATTTAAGTTATCCCAATTTTCGAAAAATGTCCACTGAATTGTAAATTGTTATGTATTACAATGTCATAGGCGTAGCCAGGAGAGGGTGCGATGGTGCGATCGCACCCCCCCCCCATAACCAATGAAAATATGGCCATGACGATAGAGGAAGAAAAGAGCCTTAAAATATGCTTTTTATTTGAAGCTTCTAGCTCAATTTTGAAGGATGTTACATATATTTTTGTAAATTCAAAACAAATCTTACACGTTTTCTCATAATCTAATTATGTTATATTATATTCGTATTTTTCGTTTTTTGGGTACCCGTTTTTTTGACCGGGTACCAAGTTTGAACCCAGCATGGAGGATTTACTACCCGGTACCCGTTTTTTTCTACAAACCCTTTCTAGATATCAGCGTCCATTTATTGTAACTCGCGTTTGCTAACATTTGCTCAGTTCTGAGATGAAGGCCACACGGGTAGTAAAAAGGCCAACGTTGGAACGATTTGTGACCTACATCCCTATTATCGTAATTAAAATGAAAGTTGCACCCTTCCTCTTTATTTTGATACCAAACAACAGCATGCTAGGTACTTAAGATTAGGTAAACTTTACTCCTCAAAAGTGCAAAAACTTAGCTTCTTATATAAGATAATCACAATATAGGGGATTGCAACTATTTCGGAAATTCGCGGAGGTCAAAGCCACATTTGCGGGACATTGCGGGAGATTGCGGGACACGCGAATTAGCCTAATTTTGATCAAATTCGCGGGATAATCCCTCCATTCACGGGACACTTGACAGCTCTGTTTTGACTAGAATCAAAACAATTATTCTAGTGACCAGTTCATATGGTTAAATAACAAAATAATGAAATGTTACCATGTGTAATTGCGGAACTCAGTCTTCTGAGCTGTTTTTTTCGCAAACATGTACATTTTCTAAAACATGTGTGAGAAAATGTCATGGGGATTCTGCTTACAACACGTGAAATAAGGAAAAAAGAAAATTCCTATATTTTGTTACCGAAACGGTGAAACGGTTCCGTTTCGGTAACCAGCGTAATCGAGTGGATCACCAGTGATGTACGTTGCTACATTAAATTTCAATAGCTCTTTCTCAATTTCAGGGAACTAAGAAAAGCAAGGCAGCTAAGGAAGTCCATATGGAAACTGAACCTGAAACTGACACCATAGTGAAGGGTACAGATCAACAACTGCCAGTTTCCAAAAAGGTAAAGAATGTAGAAATTAATATCTTTGGGAAGATGGATACTTTAGATTTAAGGTCAGGGTGCATGATGGGAAATTTTCTGCACTCCTCAATTGAGTCACATGTTATTTTTCAAACAAGAATCACTCCTTCCCCACATTGTCTATATCTTCCAGTTTTGCACAAAGAGTGCTCTTATGTGCCTAGAAAAGACTTGTGAGGAGGATGTTTTGATAAAGTGTATAAAAAGCAAGAAAATTCAGTGAAAAAATTCAGAAAATTTTCAGAATTTTTTTTCACTGAATTTTCTCATTTTTTTTATACAATTTACAAAACAAATCTTCTCACAAGGCTTTTCTAGGCACATAAGTGCACTCTTTGTGCAAACCTGGAAGATGTAGACAATGTGGAGAAGGAGTTATTCTTGTTTGAAAAGTAACATGTGACTCAATAACGCAGATGCGAGTAGGTAGTTACCAGATTCACCACCAGGTGGCTCGTTCGGGTCAGATAGCATGGCGGGTATAGTAGAAAGTTCCCTTTAACTTAAATTACATCTATTTGCGTGGTTCAATTATCATATAACCCTCATGTATCTAATAGTTATGCATATTAAAATATGTCCAGTAAAAGAAAATGCTATCTGTCCAATACAAGAAAAGATTATTCACTTTTTGTGATTTTGTAACATGGGGTCTATGAGGAATCAACCCGAACAAGAAGTCACATTTTCAAAAAAAATTAAATTTTCAAAGTTGATAGACAATTTTCGAAAACTTATTTCTAGATGTACTCTTACAAGCAGATTTCAAATATGTCATCATTTTGACTGAATTTTGAATATTTAATAACGCAAATCAAGATTATTTCTACTCGCATCTAGTCTATTGAGGAATGCAGAAATTTCCCAACATGCACCCTGTCCTTAACATTTTTTCATGTCACCACAAGAAGTGGTTCTCTATACTGATGATTATCTGCATATGTTACTTCATTGGCTTACATTCTCACAAAGGTCACATCCTTAGGGAGCTGTGTTAATCAATGAACGTTTTTGTCATGTTAATACCTTGTTTTTGATTTTCATATGAGTTTCATTTTATATCAAGCAATCTTTCTGTAGGGAAAGAAGAGTAAGAAGAACAAAGTGGAAGAGCTCAATGGAGATGATACACCAACTGAATTAAAGAATGGTGACAGCAAAGATACAAAGAAAAAACGAAAAAGCAAAGGAGAACCAGAATATGTCAACAAAGAAGAACCAGAAAATGTGAACAAAGAAGAACCAGAAACAAAAAAGAAAAAGATTAAAATTGAAAAGACTGAATCAAGTCCCAAAAAGAAAAAGGAAAAGAAAATTAAGGTAGATCAGACAGAGATTATGACAAATGGTGTAACAAATGGAAATGTGAAAGTTGAATCAAATGGTGTCACAGTAAAAGATGAGTCAGAAGCGAGTGACTCAGAACCTGAACTGTCACCTGACCAGAAGGCCGGACAATTTAACAATTTTGACATATCAAAAAAGACAGTGGATAAACTTTTAGGTGAGTCACTCTCAAAATATTGTAGATCTTCTTTTTGTTTCAAGATCAACCTGTTAATATTATTAGACTCCAGATGTAGACATTGAGTCAAGTCCTGTATATGGTCAATTTAGATCCAGTATTTAGCTTCTCGGAAATTGCGTCAATTTTTTATCTAGGTCAAAGGTCAAGAACTAGGTCAAATCTTAAATTTTCAACCTTCTGTCTATTATCTTCGTCGTTATTTATCGAAACAACTTTGTCTTTTTTTCATCATGTAGCTTAGAAACAGCCCTTTCACAAATGTGCCATCAGATTTTTGATTACTGTTACCGATTTTGAGATATGGTGTCCGAAAAGTAGGTCAGCTGGGGTTTCAATAACAGCCGGCGGGCGGCGAAAACGCCGCTTCAAATCCCAGTTACGCCGGTTAAAATTGCCGGTCCAAATGATGAGAGAATTTGCTGACACATGAGACAAATCAATTTACACTGCCCCCAGGATTCCGTGTTTGCAGAGCGCGGACGGAATTTGCCTCTGCCCGCGGAATTGCAGAATCAACTATTTTGGTCAATTTCCGCGGAATTTTCCGCAGAATCCATATATTTTCCAAAAGTTTAAAAAGTCAGTCTTACCTGTAACAATTTGACACGTTTTCAGTCAAATCCCTTGCAGAAATAACCCAAATTATGCGAAGTGAAAATTCTAAACGCCATCGTTTGATTTCTGCCGTTAGATGGCAGCATGTATGTAGTGACTGAGACTGACTACCTGACTATCACGATATTTTCCCGTTTACTGGTTCGAAAACCATTAGTTTTTCTTTCGGTTCTCGTCAGAAAGTTAAACAAAGACATAAATTAATAACAGTTATTTATATTATTAAGTTATTGATCGAAAACTTCGAACTCCAATGAGATATTACACTTAAAACCTGATTTACATATATCGTGATTCCCATTATGCGCCCGATCCTCCGTGTTTGAAGTTTCTTGTTAAACCAATCTTGATTTTTTTTATAATAACCGCAAAAAAATGCCGCGAATATCCGCGGAATTTCTGCAGAATTAGCCCTTTCTTCTTGCAGAATTCACTAATTTCACTTGCAGAATTGAGCATTTTAACTTGCAGAAAACTTGGGGGAGTGAATTTAGTTTGACATATCAAATGAAAGAATATAAATTGGCCTACCTTGTGAAGGCAAAATCTAAGTATAATAGGCAGATAATCAGCAGTGTTTTAGAGAAACACTGAGATAATTATCTTACTGTAATCCGTCCACCATTTTTATTGACCTACTCTCAAACCAACATTGCTTTGAGACTAATGGGTCAGTAGCAAAAAACCTTTATCACTGTCCTGTCAACTTTCAATGGACTTGAAAACAAACAGTATAATCAATACAATTGATCTTCTTGGCATTATCTTACATCATAGTGAGGAAGCACAAAGGGCAAAATTTGAAAACAAATAAAATATTACAAGTCAAAAATGCATATCAAACTATTGAATGTTATCTTTATATTTCATTGAGATTAATAATGTGTCAGAAATATTGAGTTTATTAATTTACACGAGTCAACATTAAAAAAACACATAAAGTAATGAACAAGTCAAATAGATCTATTGGTCATATACAGTTTGTATAAAAGTGACAGGAAAATACTGATTTTATCGTTTTATGTCACAGTGAGGAAGCGCAAGGGGTATATTTAACTCCAAATATGAACGAGAATGCGAGCGAAGCGAGCGGCGAATGGTCAAAAAAAATTCAGCCTGTTGAAATTGCCAAAGGCCTGTTGAAAAAATATTTATTGAAACCCCTGGGTCAGAACAAAAAGTTCTCCAAATTCAACATGAGAGTTATGAAATAAGTGTAAAATGATCTCAGGAATCCGAATCTGCAAATCAAATTTGGATCGGACTTCTGGTTCGGAAGTTATGGCATTTTGAAAGCTCAAAAATCGCTAAATTTGGTGTCCATGTTAAGTCAATGGGAAAAAAGATTTTTTTGAAGTGTAAAATACGAAATATAGACTGAGTTCAGCTAAATATAATGAAAGCTTTTAAAAGATTGGGACCTCAAAAGCCATCTAGCTTCAAAATTTGGACACCAAAATGCCCAGGTCAAATTCAAAGTTTTTCCTTAGTTTTGCGATTCTGACACTACACTTTAATTATATTCTTCGAAATTGTGTATACATGTAGCCAAAAGTGTGCTAATAGTGTTAGCCTTTTGTCGTCAGAGAGTATTTTGACCGAAAAGTAGGTCAAAATAAAAAGTTCTCCAAATTTAACATATGAGTTATTAATTAAGGGAAGAATTTTCTCAGGAATCCGAGTCTGCAAACCAAATTTCGATCCGACTTCCGGTTTCATTGAAAGTTATGGCGTTTTGAAATTTCAAGAAAAATCGATCTGATGGTATCCTGTTAGAAAGTCAAGTAGTGAAGAAAATGTTGAAAATCCATCCATTCTTCCATCCTTCCTATCTATCCTTCCTTCATATCTTTTTTTCCTATCCTATCCTTCCTTCTTATTCTATCCTATCCTTCTTTCCTATTCTATCCTATTTTCCCTTCCTATTCTATCCTATTCTTCCTTCCTATTCAATCCACCCATCCATCTTTTTTTGGATGACTCGGCTTATTCTAGATGACTCAGCTTATTTTGGATGACTAGGCTTAAAAAATGTCTAGATCTGGAGTCTGAAATTGAACTCGTTCAAGTTTTTCATGTAATATTATTGAATTGTCAGGGAATTTCATTTACTATTTAAATTTGAAAGATCAAGTTATTTCATTTCAAGGCAACAATGAAATATGCTTAAATGTGAAAACTGAGTATAAAAGGAAGATGCAACAGCCTGGAACAACCAATTTAACCGTTGAAAATATTTGAATCACGGAGTAAAAATAATTTGGTTTTCCCTATCGCAATTTCTAGAAAGTGTCAGATAACCCAATTGTAAAAGTCATATATGAAACCATGAAGAAGATAACTGATATCAGATCTGAAAACCATATGCAGGGTGGTCCAAAAAAATGAACCCTTGCAACAGGCTCTATCTCAATTATTACCTGCATTAATAGGTTGATATTCTCAACTGTTTTAGAGGAAGTTCTAAAGATTTTTGGGGTAGCATATAAAAGGTCACTCAATTTTAAATCTTGGAGGAGTTACATGAGTACAAAAGACATGCCTGATTAATGGATGATGTGCCAAATCCATGCTCCATGGTGCTGTAATATCTTTTAATTTTTTCAGCTAGAGGAGTAAAATATCTGTTCCCCATTCAGGCTAAGACATTCCAAGCTGTGTTTGACGGTAGAGATGTAATTGCACAAGCAAGTAAGTGGATACTGTTATTAATATGGGTTGGGTACAGATGTAATTGCACAAGCAAGTTAGTGGACACTGTTATTAAAGTGTGTAGGGTACAGATTTAATTGCACAGGCAAGTAAGTGGGCACTGTTATTAAGATGGGTAGGGTACAAATGTAATTGCACAAGCAAGTAAGTGGACACTGTTCTTAAGGTGGGTAAGGTACAAATGTAATTGCACAAGCAAGTGGGCACTCTTATTAAGGTGGGTAGGGTACAAATGTAATTGCACAAGCAAGTAAGTGGACACTGTTATTAAGGTGGGTAAGGTACAAATGTAATTGCACAAGCAAGTGGGCACTCTTATTAAGGTGGGTTGGGGTACAAATGTAATTGCACAAGCAAGTAAGCGAACACTGTTATTAAGGTGGGCAGTAGGATAAACAATTAAACTCAAGACTTGTCCTACTAATTAACAAGTTTCAAGTTACCAGAGCAGATTATACATTCTGCTATTAGCCTACTAAAAGGAGAACAATATTATACCAGGCCCGGTGATCGTGAAAATGGGACGGAGGGGGAGCAAGCAATTTCTGGTAGAAAAATGAACAAATCTGCAAAAATTATTTTTTCAAGAAAAGGTTTATGATTTAATTGCTAAACGAATAGGCGCACAGTATGGTAAAATATGTCACATATTCTACGAATTTTTTTTAGCCGATTCTCTTCTTAGGTATAAGATCTATTAGAAAAGGCGCGACGCCACCAATGTGCAAAAGTCAATGTTTTTGCTTTAAATCAAGCATCAACGGTCTACACAACCTGCAATAAATATTTGTAAGTGACATTATCATCATAAAATTAATGACCTTAATGACTTTACAAAATACGATGGTTGGCAAAATATTCCAGGAGACTGTATATCTATAAATGTTTACCTGTCTTAACGTTTTTACTTGCTGATTTGTAGGCATATCATACACAGCACATCACACTTTGGACATGTAATTTTTCTACCAGAAATTGCTTGCTCCCCCCCTCCATCCCATTTTCACGATCATCGGGCGTGTATACAGAGACAAAAGAGTTGCAATTTTTCCCCAAAGAAGTTGCCCAACACACAGCCATGCAACTTTCTCTGTATAGTGTTCCTTTGAATATGGTTCTACAAAGTAATTCTATTCATTTTGGAATACAGGCACGCTATTTGTTTCGATCACAAACTGTGTGCCTAACAAAATTGCATCATTCAAGTTGGAGTCTGGATTTTGAAACATAATTTTTTTAAGACATTTATCATGCATTGTTTTCTTGTTTAATGCATTCATTCTGTGAAGAATATACAAATTTTGCAAAAACTATGTACAAATGGATCTACGTTTTAAAACATAAGCAGATTAATGGCATTTTCGTCACCGATTTAACGGAAATTTATATGTAAATTGATCTAGCACTTTAAACATAAATGACAAATACTTCAGACTCGTTTTATATTTAATTCCTTACGCATTAATCATGTATAATTCAAAATATTTCGAGGTAAAATAGATAATCAGGAGATTGAAAAGAAATGAAGCACAAACTGCGTGCCTATTTTAGCCATAAACTATCAAAACTACTTCTCGTACATATTATCATTGGAATTTCTACAGAGGCACGTGTAGGTGTTTTTCATATAGCTGGATGGACTCTCATAGTATTTCAATTATGGGGTTCTACTATTAGACACATATGTGCCTTACATATAGCGCTTACGTTTTCGAAAAATACAAAACAAGCAGATTTACATGGGCATCGTGTACATAGTCAAACTGAAAAAATGAATAACATTATTCTAACAATCTCAAATGTTGAGATCAGAGAGAACTAATAAACACAAATGTCAAGTCTTTGTTCACCCCTACCCCTGCCAAGCCTCAAATCATACTTTGGGAAACATTTTCAATGGAGCAAACTTAACATAAGAGGATTGTGTAATGATCCAAATTTTGTTTGTACTTTCAGGGACTGGTACAGGAAAAACAGTAAGTAATAATTTTTATCCTATCGAACGAAGTTCAGAGGGATATAAGGAACACCTCTGTCCTTTCAGGCAATAACTCAAATTCCATTGGCCCGATTTTGTTCATATTTTGTATACATATACCCTATGGGGATAGAAGTTCTGCTCGAAAGGCAAAAATGGCGGCTATTTTAGTGGCCATTTTACAGTAATTTAGGTGCAATATGTAAACCTGTAATAGCAACATGTTTTAAATGTGAAGAAATTATATAGGACATTATTAAAGCTAGAAATGTAGATATTTAAGAAGCACATGGCAGCCATCTTGAAAAATGGCGTCCTTTACTCGTTATCTTACGATATTTGCTATAACTCGAAAAGTAATGGAGCGATTTTGATCATATAATGGTATGTGAATACTATAAGCATGGCACACTGTCTAATGACACTTTTGGTAGAAGGCGGCCATTTTGAAAAATTTTAATGTATTCTACTATAACACGAAAAGTAGTGGAGCGATTTTGTTCATACTACTGTATTTGCCGTAATAAGTGCCCAGGGCGCTTTTGAAATTGAAATTCCCATTGTAACACATTACAAAGAGCGCCCATATATGAGAGAAGTCAAAAATCCTCGGGAATTTAATGTATGGGACTTTTTCTTGCCAAAAATGCCTTATTTGCAACAAAAGTGACGGCATATATTTACAATAATGATATGTATTGTTATTGGAGAGAATACGGTAAAGATCGCTAAACTAAAGCAAGAATCTAACTATATTGACAGTGATTGAAGAACTCCCCAGCAGAGCCCCTCGAGGTGAAGGAATTGTTTTCTGCGATTATCTTCAATATTTCCACTATAGACTGTTAGATATCGATTTAAAGTTATACCTTGTTTTTTGGCTCACACAGTGAGCCTATTGGATCGACCAGGCGTCTGTTGGTCTGTCCGTCCGTTGGTCCGTCCGTATATTCTCCACAAAGAGGGTGAACTAAGAAGACAGATCAACATAAGAACATCAGCAATGGGAAGGGGTGAGTTTTCTGGCCGGATCAAAACGTTTAACCCACCTACGCGCAGTCTCAAGTCTGTGGACCCTGAAGAAAGATAACTAACATCACAATCAAATCAAGACAAAGAAAGAAGACAATGAATGAAGAGACTAATGCAGCAGCAACAAATGACTTCCGTGCCTTGGTCCGTCCGTCCGTTGGCCCGTCCTTCAACATTGGCCGCACGAATTAAGACTGCTATTCGGATTGAGTCATATCCACATTCACTTTATTCATTTATTCATCAAATGCCTATTTGACCTATCATCGCCATTTCCCAAGTTCGCCCAGTTTCTGAGAAATTGCTGATTTTGACGTCAAATAGTCACATTTTCTGTAAATACTAGACACTTTGTTGAAGTAGAACTTTCAAATAACTTGTAGTAGTTGCTGTATATGCAACTTATGTCCTCTGAAGATTTCAAAGCTCTTGGAATTTCAGTTTTTGGTGATTACTCCAGAAAATATGACAAAAAGTAGGACTTTGTCATTTTCAGGAAACTTTCTCGTGTATCAATGGCAGGTTTTGTTATTGACAAGTTTCTCAAAGTTTGCCTTATACTTGATCATTTCTTGCAATGAATTACATCATTACTAGATTTAAGCATTCCCTACATATTGCTCAATATATGTCAGTATCAAATTTTTACCGTTTTTGAGATATTTGACGTCAAAAAACAGTAAAAATAAGTTATTTTTCAACTTGCTTTTTGGATGTAAATTTTGGTCAACTTAATCACAAAAGACCTTACTGTGCTCTGAATAAGTAAAATTTTCAAGGTCAAAGGTCATCAAACTAGGTCACACAACTGTGCTATCTAAGTTTGTCAAAGCTCAAGACTACAAATCCAAATCAATATTTTTGTTTGAAAGTCAGGATATACATTCCTCTGAAGGTTCCAAACAGTGTGAGCACAGGACAGGGTCCTTTATTTTATTTTCTGTCATTTAGCCATCATTCACTTTTGAGCAACACCATGTGAGCCCAGTACCCACGGTACTATTTTATGAAAAATAGCATGCTCCCCCAAGCTGGACAAATCTTTTGATGACAACTCGTGATAATAAGTTTGTTTTTTCAAAATGAATTGATTATCACATTATTTGTCAAACTATGAGATGATATATCATATATATCAACCCAACAGACATCTAAAATGTGCTATGGTTGTATTTAATGTAACATTCATGATTTGATATGTTGTTTTGCAGTTGTCTTTTGCCCTACCTCTTGTTGAGAAACTTCAGAAGGAGGCCAAGTATGGAAGAGGAAGATCACCCAAGGTATAAATTAACAATATTTTTTGTCTCATATGGTAAACCTATCCCACTCATTTCTCCGTCTATAATTCTGTCAACAATATTTAGACAAATTAAAATCCCTACCTCTTGAACCAATGGTTATTTCTATCATTTAATGTCCAAAGTGACAAGCTATTTAATAAAATATGTTTTATTCAGTGGGATTTGCTTCTCCTTGGATTTGCTGTTTTCTATTTTGTCTTGATATAATATTCACAATATATGGACTCGTCTTGTAAGCCTATTCGCTCATTCTCCATTAAGTGTGACTTTTGAGGTGTCAAAATATTAATTTTTCGACCTCAACCAAAATACTAGCTCTACTTAATTCATGGATTCCTATGGTCTGTGGATGAAAAATGCCAAGTTTCACCAGCCTTGTATCAAAATTGGAGAAGTTATGACGCATTGTTGTAACACACATTTAATTTATGGACCTAATTTACAGGACACCTCTAAATGCTAAAATGACAAATATTGTACATCACATACTTATTTCCTTGGTTGCATATCAATCTCATGGTCCTAACAAGTAAATTGATATAAAAATTTTCATATTTTCAAAAATCGTGTGTCCCGTAAATTAATCTCATAAATTAAATAAGAATTTCAACAAATTATAACACCGGAAATATGAAACCATGATCTTGAATATAGCTGGTTTTAAAAAGAGACCCAACGTGCTTAAATATCTGTTGCATCAGATTTGTCAGAATATGTCTGCATGTTCTTTTAAAATGGCAGTCCCATAATTTAGGGCCAAAATTTCCATTCTAGAATCCATAAGTTGGACTAGAATTTCTGATTACCCTTTGTCATAAAAAAGCCTCGTTTGTTGGATCAGTTATCAATATGTGATTAGTTTGCGATCAATAACTTGTTGATAAGAAGCTTACATAAGAGACCACGTTGAAGTGTCTGACTCTTAAATTAGATACAACTGAGTGACAGAATTCAAAGTTAAATTTTTGAAAGACTAAAAGATGGATCGTGAGGTTAGGTATTTTTAGTGAAAGTAGATATTACTGTACTGAAGATATGTTATAATATGTTACATAGCGACTGTATGCCATTTGTGTACAATGAACAGCAACTCTATGTTCACTTATCACTTCGGTGACAGGCCATTTTGGGTACCCCGCATACTTCAGACACCTCTCAGCCAGTAACACAGTATGGTGCATTTGTAATATGTATTTAATTTTACTGCCAATTCATAATTTTTGAAAAAAAATGTCATTTATACCATAAAAATGCATATATTTTGATTAACATCATTAGGAAAAGCAGTTACACCATTTTTCACGCTAACGGAGAATGGCTGTATTGAGAAGTCAAAATAAATTAATACAAGTGAAAATTATTGTACGAAAATAATTATATAAAAAAACAAGAATAACTGTTTACATCATGTTGCCTACTGCTACTGAAACTAAAATGTTCATCTTGAAAAAATCTTTTGAAAGACCTCAATAATCATATTCATTGGGATTTATGACTCTTGTGGAGTTTTAGTTATAGTTTTATTTTATTATTAAGATCAGCTTTTATGTCACCGCCACAAGTGATGACATATTATACTCTCCAATTTTTGTGAGTGTTGTTTGGTGTCTGTAACAGCATCCAGCAGTCAGCGTCTGTAACAAATGGCAGGTTATGAGATTTTGCATGCTAATGCATTGTCTTATCCTATGCTCAAGGCTGATCAAGGCTGCAATCTAAAAGCTATGGTTTTAAAGTTGGCCCTTCCGGATCAACCCTGCTCATCAATGCCATCTTGTATATAATAATATTAATAGCAAGCTTTCATTAACTTTGTGTTGTAGGTGCTTGTCATGGCACCCACAAGAGAACTAGCCAACCAGGTCAGTGAGGACTTCAAATCTGTTTCAGATAGGCTTGCAGTGTCTTGCTTCTATGGGGGTACCCCCTTTGGCCCACAGAGTGAGTCTTAATTCAAACATTCTTTAAGTTTTTCTATGAGACCATTTTCCAAAGGTCTAATATGTGACTCGAGAACCTATTTTACCACATGCTATATGTCAATTTTGTACCTTTATACCACAGCATAATTATGTCACCATAAAAAAGTGGTGACATATTGTTATGGTCTCCATTTTTTGTGGGGTGGTTGGTAGCTGGTGATCGACAGTTGGTGGTTGGCGATCGGCAGGTGGCGGCTGGTGTCTGTAACCAATTCTTAAAACTTCCAATAACTTAACAATATACTGTTTAGACTGACGTCAATTTCTTTCAAAATAATCTACAAGTTTTCCAAAGTTCAAATCTGACTTAAGATTTAAGATTTGACATCCAATGACCTTTTCAAGGTAAAAAAAGGTCCAAAAGGTTTTTTTCAACTTGCTTCAAATTGACCAGTTTTTTTCAAAATCATCTACATGTTCTCAAAAGTTCAAATCTGACTATAGATTTGACCTTCAATTATACTCCAAAGGTCAAGAGAGATTTGACCTTCAAATACCTTCTCAAGGTCAAAAAGGTATTTTTCAACTTGCTTCAAATTGACCAATTTTTTTTAAAATCATCTACGATTTCTCAGAATTTCAAATCTGACTAGATTTGAGATTTCACCTTCAATGATCTTCTCAGGGTCAAAAAGGTCTTTTTTCAACTTGTTTCAAATTGACCAATTTGATTTTTAAAAATCATCTACAAGTTCTCAATTCAAAACTGACTAAGATTGAACTAATAATGTTGTGTGTAACTAGGTGGTGACATTTTGTCATGTTAATGCCTTGTCAAAAAAATATTACAAAATAAACATTGAACACATAAAACTACCTAGTTCAAAAGAGTTTTAGAAAATAAATTAGAAGAAACAGTTTCATGATGATTTATGTAATCTGAGTCAGTATTTCAGTGTGTTTTTTATTTTTGTGTTTTTTCCTTCATACTCGTGGCTTGCATCACTTTCAATACATGTACATCATTGACATTGTGTTTTAGTGAGTGACATCAGACAGGGTATAGATGTACTGGTAGGGACCCCTGGGCGTATTCTAGACCACCTGCAGAAGGGAGTGTTGAAGATTGACAACCTCAAGCATGCCATCTTGGATGAGGTGGATCGCATGTTAGACATGGGCTTTGCTGATACTGTGGATGAGATCCTACAGTTTGCTTACAAACAAGGTTGGTACCACTTGTATGTTATCAGTTTGCCAACCACAATATTGATCATTAAAGTAACCATATACATCATATCAAGGTACGATTTTAATTAAGTCTAGTCAGAATGAGGGTTTGAGTGTGTTTGGTAGTTGCTGTTCAGTGGTCGGCTTTTGTACAACAAATGGTAGGTGATGCCATTTTGCATGTTAATGCTTGTTTCTATCATGTAACAGTGACTTCCCCAGCATTAAACCAAGTGGGTGCATCACCCACTTGAGATTTTGAAAATAGCCTTGCACCCACCTGAAAATCCATTTGAACCCACTTGAAAATGAGAAAAATCATGAGTATAATTTGACCAATTTTGGTCCGAATTGTGAAAATTAGAATTATGCACCCACTTGAGAAAAGATCCTTGATGGTGATCAGTTTGTAATGTCTAAAATTACTAGGGATTCGATAAAATATGTTTTGTTTCGTGGGATTTGCCTCTGAATGTAGATACTGTAGGATATATTATTATAACGGTATTAAAATATAACGAAAACACTCTACACCTCTCATGATTTTGTGAATGTTGTGTGTGTGTTTTTCTTATCGTGATACTGTAAGACTGTTATTAAAGAAAATGGAACTTTTTCTGAAACCTACGAGTACTCTGAGTAAAATATCTGAGGATTTAATCATGTATATATTTGTGTGTATTATGAACTTTGACCTCTGGTTGAAGCATTATAGAAATGATCGAAAAAGTTGATTTTGGTATGATTTTTTGCTGTTTAACGGTGAATAAACATACTAAATGGTAACAGGATAACAAATGAGGTAAGTTGTGCCGATGTTCAACTGATTATCAATCAATATTACATTGATTATGCTGAATGGTAAAGCAATTGACGTCCGTTTTCATTTTTTCCGAGCTCCATTTTTATCCCGATTTTTATCAAACAAGAATAATTAACTTGGTCGAAAGTCAGAATATATACCGGGAATAAAACATAACGACAAAGACAATTCGTTATTTTTTGTTATAATTAAATACACGTTATAATTACATCTTGTACAGTATTCAGTATAATGTTTAATGTTTTCAGATGTGAAACCACAGACATTGTTATTCTCAGCAACTTGTCCATCTTGGGTGTACCAAACTGCAGAAAAGTACATGAAGGAAGATCTCTTCAAGATAGACATCATAGGACAGCAGAAGAACAAGACTTCTACCACAGTCCAGGTATGTGATGGCAAATATTCAGCTACAAAAGAGATAGACTTCCCTCTTCTTCACTCTTAAACTCTGATTATTATTATATCCCATCGAACAAAGTTCGGAGGGATATATAAGGAACGCATCCGTCCGGGCAATAACTCAAATACCGTTGGCCCAATTTTGTTCATATTTTGTACACATATTTTGGTAGAAGGTGGCCATTTTGAAAAATGGCCACTATTTTAACATATTTTACTAGAACTCGAAAAGTTGTGGAGCGATTTTGTTCATACATGACCTGCGTATAGTGAACAATTTTTTGCCAAGCGATTTTGTTCATATTTGGTATGTGAATACTATAAGCATGGCACACTATCTAATGACACTTTTGGTAGAAGGTGGCCTTTTTGAAAAATGGCTGCCATTTTTGCTATATGCTTTGTTATGTCCCCACCACATAATGTGGAGCCTAGGCGTGTCCGTCCATCTGTCTGTCCGTCTGTCCGGCAGTTTTCTACAAAACCGCTACAGATAACACCTTCAAATTTTCAGGGATAACTTATGAGTGGATGGATGAAAAAAATTTAACTGGATACCTACTTCTTGTCGGCCATTTTGAAGTCAAATGCTAAAATCCTTGTCTGCAAACTTTAAGAAAAATGGCTTCACAGGTGCTATAACATCTAGTTTTTACTATAAATCAAAACGTAGTGGAGTGATTTTGTACATATATTTGATATGACATTTTGGGGAGTAGGCTGCCATTTTGAAAAATGGCCACCATTTTTACGTGTTTATTATTATTTTTTTATTTACTATAACTCAAAAAGTAATAGAGGGATTTTATCTTGTTCATATTTGATATGTGAGCACTCATAAGCATGGCATACTGTCTTATGACATTTTGGCTAGTAGGTGACCATTTTGAAAAATGGTCTCCAATTATATGTGTGTGCGATTTTGTTGAAAATTTATATGTGCTAACTTAGAAGCATATTACACTTTCTGATGACAATTTGGCTATTGAGCAACCATTTTGAAAATGGCCATTTTTTACGTGTGTAATTTTATGATTTTTGCGATGCACTGTTTGTAAAAATGCCAACCATGGCTGTTCGATGGGATTTGCTACTCTTTGGCGTTGCTGCTGTCCAGTTTGTTTCAAAATTAGTTATGCAGAAGGTCCTCTCTTCAATCGACTGCTGCATCACAGTTTCTAAGAATAAGAAGCTGTAACCTTTACTGTTTTCTCTTACTACTTTTGTGGAATATAAAGATGTTTGGATTAGTCTTTATAACTAATAGATATAATCTGTTTCAGCATTTGGCTGTCAGATGTAGTTACTTCGACAGAGCTGCAACTCTAGGTTCAATAGTGCATGTGTACAGTGGTAACCACGGCAGAGCTATTATATTCTGTGAAAAGAAGAGAGATGCTGATGAACTGGTAGCCAGCCCACATTTAAAGCAGGAATCCCATGTACTGCATGGTGATGTACCTCAACAGAAAAGAGAGCAGGTCTTGAAGGTATATTTTGGTTTATTCTGCTTCATTCAAATATTACTATTTTTGGTGAAAGGAGCCTGCAAAGGTGCCGCAAAAGCAGTGAATGAAGAAATATAATTGGATTAGCCAATTAAGCAAATCCACCTAATTAAGCTAATAAAGCAACTTTAATTAGCCTATAATAGCTTATTCCTTAAAGTAAGTCATATAAAGGGTAAATTCTTAACATACTTACATAAATTGCTGGTCAGTTGTTAATTCATACTAAACCTGATGAGGTGATAGGGGCTGGGTAGGTGGGTTTTTGCAATGCTGCTGACTGTTTGCTGGCTCTAGCTAATCTAACTGAAGTTCTAACATAATTCAGTGCCTCTGTTCTGATGCCTTCATCACAAATTAACTGTATACCTGCACATTAGCTTCTAATTTGTATACTGCAAGTACATTCAAGCATGAATAAAACTCTGCATATTGTAAGCTTAATTAACTAAAGGTCAGCATGGGTACTGTACTAAGAGAGATAAATAAAACTTAAAGGACCTGTCCAATTTTATATGCCATTTTAAGCAAAATAAGCTTAAGCTTTACGGCACCAATTCCAAACTCCTTTTCAATGCTTTTAACTTCATTCAGTTCATAAATCAAATCATTTCATAATTTTCATTAATCATATATCAGCTCATTGTGTTGGAACAAGCTGGCTAATAAATTGGGAAAAATAACCAATAACTGATGGAAGTGAGAACTTGTGTTTCCTTTTGACATCATTTGTACCAGTTGACTTAAAGAGAAACTTGTGTATAGATTAAAGTTCAAGAAAATGTTAAAAAATAAGCAAAATGTAAACTGCGATCCACTTTGAATCAGCTCACTCATTGTGATAATGTAATCATTTGTTTGTAGGGTTTCAAAGATGGTAAATACAAATGTCTTGTTGCAACTGATGTTGCTGCTAGAGGTCTTGACATCCCAGCAATTGATCTCGTGGTCCAGTGCAGTCCCCCCAGAGATGTTGACTCTTATATTCACAGGTAAATTCCATATCCATTTAATTAGTATTTCATTAGGAGGTTAGGACAAGTGCTTCCCTTAAGCTACGTTCACACCAACGGCGAATGCCACGTTTTAAATCGGCGAGCAAAGCGGCAACAAAGCATGGCGCTTTAAAGGGACTTGTAAAGCGGCACCAAAGCGTAACAAAGCTTGATTAAAGCGTCGGGGTCATAGAAAATCTCGAAGTAAAGCGGGATGTTCTGCAAGAGCACCAAAAATTTTTAAACTGTTTAAAAATTTTGGGCGCTCCGTTACGAATTGATTAAAGCGCCGAGAGCGTATCAAAGCTTAACAAAGCTCAGCAAAGCTTGACCCAAAGCGTAGGAAAGCTTAACAGAGCTTGGTTCAAAGCGGGGACCCCAGTCTCTTCAAGATCTGTTACCACTTGACACGCTTCGTTTAGATGTCTCAAGCTTTGCTACAATCTGGCATGAAGATCTGACACGAGTTCAGACGCTTTCATCAATATCTGACACTCTTTGTTACGCTTTCATGAAGGACTCTCAAGCTTTTTAATGAATCAAGACACTTTAATCAAAGATTGTTACGCTTGACAAGCTTCCTCACGCTTTCTCACGCCCTTTCACGCCGTGCGACAAACATCATGTCTTCTTCAGATAGGTCATGATCTGCTCCATCTGGAAATACTGGATCTTGTTGTTCTGCCATCGTCTTCTCGAGTCACAGATGCAATGGTTTTATGGATCTACTGCATCTTTATACAGCCATTTGATCAAAAGCGTAATGATAAAGGCGATCTCGAAAATGCACAACAGAGCTTGGCAATCATATCAGAGCCTGATTAAAGCGTCAGAATCACATCAGAGCGTAATAATGCTTACCAAAGCTTATCAAAGCGTGATTTTAAGCGTAACAAAGCCTGGTCGAAGCGGGATCATAGCGTGAGGAACCGTAACAAGTCGGGAAATCAAAGCGTAATCAGATCGTGATATTTTTGGAAAAGTAAACATAAATGACAGCGCTTTGCTCGCCGATTTAAAGCGTGGCATTCGCAGTTGGTGTGAAAGTAGCTTTAAAAATGTTTGGCGCTTTTGCCGAATATCCCGCTTTACTCCGAGCTTTTCTACGACCCTGACGCTTTAATCAAGCTTTGTTACGCTTTGGTGCCGCTTTACAAGCAACTTTAACGCCATCAAAGCGCCGTTAGTGTGAACGTAGCTTTAATTGAATGTGAATAAAACAGATGGATGTTATTATCCCACTGAACGAAGTTCGAGGGATATAGGAAAGCCGTATATTCATATCCATTAGGATTTGATTCAAATTTTATAGGCTTATGCCTTATGGGTGTAGTACCTCTGCTCGAGAATGAATTTTCAATATGGCTTCTCAATTCAAAATGGCCGCCATTTTTTGTAAAAATATTATCTTTGATAACTCAAATACTAGATGACGGATTTGGTTCAATTTTATATGTTGATGCCTAAGGACAAAGGAGCTAGGCTGAAGAAGAGATTTTCAAGATGGTCGCTGAATTTCAAAATGGCCGCCATTTTTCATAAAAAATATAATCTTTGATAAGACATTTTCAAGATGACTACCATTTTTCTTAAAAAATGTAATTTTTGATAACTCAAATACCAGTGGATGGATTTGGTTAAGATTTTATATGCTGATGCCTGAGGAGAGTTTCTAGTTTCTAGTAGTTAGTGAGAGGGCTGCCTGGAGATAAATGTGTACATTGAACTGTGATAACATTGAGCTTGTATTGAAAATGTTTTTGATTTTCTTAGATCTGGTCGTACAGGCCGTGCAGGAAGGATGGGAACATGTGTGTGTTTCTACAAACCTAATGAAGAACGGGAATTGAAAACTGTTGAAAATAGAGCTGTGAGTAAACTAAGATTTATATATGCAAATGAATTTGAAAAGTCAAAACTGTGTTAAAATGCATTGTTAATTTGTTTGCACATTTATTGATGATTCTGTATTTATTAACCATAAAGTTTCATCAGAATAGAACTATAAAATTGATAAAAAAAACTCAGATGTGAAACTCCGGTAGATAGTATCAATTATCGTCTTTGAAACCAAGGTGTGCTGTCTTTGGCTAAGCAATCAGACAAACCGAAGTGGGCGTACCAATTCAAAATGTAGCCCTACGCCGATTACATGGAGATTATTTACATGTCATTAGTTCTAAAAAAAAATATATTTCCAAGATAGCCACCACTTTAACAATGGTCAGAATTTTTCATGAAAATCTTGAGTTTTTCATTTCAAAGCAAAGTAATAAATATTATTTCTTGAAATTTTGGTAGTATATTCACAAAATCTATCTATTTCATATATTCTGAGTTTTTCACCATGACCTCCAGGGGCCATGTATTGGGGGGTCGGGAAAATGGGAATTTGCGTTAATTTTGAGATCTTTCTAAATAAGTATAACTTTATTATACTCAAATGAAAGGCAATTCAAAGTAGATTGCAAATATTGTATCGGGCCTCTTAAATTTAGAATTGCCACCTTATGCAAGATTTCGCAATAATTTTTTGATCCCTTTAAAGTATGTCTATATTATACTCAAATTGAAGGAAGTTTAGGATAGATCATTATTATTATTATGGTATTGTCTTTCTGATTTGTGCCTCAGAAAATTCAAAATGTCTTTATTATTTGTGCCTTTAAAACTCTTAAATTGTCATCCAAATGCTTTTAAAATTGGTAGAAATTCTGATATATATATAGTGTTCGTCGGGAATTGCTACTCAGTGGAGTTGCTGTTATCTAGTATGATATGTTGACCTCTTATATTTTTCAGGGTATAAAATTCAAGCGTATTGGAGGGCCAACTACCAAAGACATCATCAGGGCATCAGCTGAGGATGCAGCCAGATCTCTGGAGGGAATTCCTGATGCAACTTTGGATCACTTTACAGAATCTGCTGAGAAACTCATAGAAGAGAAAGGTGCAGCAAAGGCCCTTGCAGCTGCACTAGCAGTCATCTCTGGGTGCACAAAGATTGTGTCAAGGTCGTTGTTATCCTCAAATGAGGTATGCATTGAGGTCAAAATTGTAAAATGTTTGAATTTTGATTGTGTATAATTATCCCAACGAACGAAGTTCGGTAGGGATATAGTGAAGCCCTCCGTCCGTCCGTCTGTCCGTCTGTCAGTCAGTCAGTCAGTCCGTCCGTCTGTCCGGAAGATAACTCAAATACTAGTAGATGGATTTTCTTCATATTTAGTGGAAAGATGTATATTGGTGAATAGTTTTACGCAAAAAAAAAAATTTTCAAGATGGCCGCCGCTTTAAAAATGACGGGACTTTTTCGCAAAAATCATAAATTTTTCATTCTAAACCAAAGTAATTAATATTATTGTTTGAAATTTTGGTAGTATATTCACAACATTTATCTATTTCACATATATTCCGTGTTTTTCATCCTGACCCCCAGGGGCCTTGTATGGGGGAACAGGAAAACAGAAATTTTCGCTAATTTCTAGATCTTTCTGAAGTATAGCTTTATTATACTCAAATGAAAGGCAATTAAGAGTAGATTGCAAATATTGTATCTTTTTTCTGATTCGAGCCTCGTAAAATTCAAAAGGGCCGTCTAATGTACGATTTCGCAATAATTTTTCGATCCCTTCAAAGTATGGCTATATTATACTCAAATTGAAGGAATTTTGGAGTAGATCACAATTATGGTATTATTTTTCAGATTTGTATCTCCGAAAATTCAAAATGGCTGCTTTGCAGGAATTCGCAATTCTAAAATCTAATTTTTTCAATTTTAACCAAAGTAATGAGTATAATTGATTGGAATTCGTTAATTGATATTTTGTTCGTTGGGATTTGCTACTCCGCGGAGTTGCCGTTATCTAGTTTGTAATATTTTCATTGAAAATTTATATGTCCTGAGTTTGCGCTGCCTCAAGGAGACAATTATTCCAACATATTTATTGTATCATGAAATGTTTCAAATTAGATTTAATTAAATATGTTTCCTTTGAAAAAATTTTAAATATTAACTGTTTATAGGTATTTGTAATGTTATCGCATTGGAGAGTGCAAATGCATTGTAATATATATATATTTTTTTTTTTTGTTTAGGGTTACACTACATATCTGTTCAGGACTAACTTAGAATTTGAGCGCATTGGATATGTTTGGCGATCCTTGGAAAAGTACATACCCTTTGAGATAAAGGAAAAATGTATGAGAATGAGGATAACTGCAGACAAAAAGGTATAATTTTGTGACCTTTTCCAATAAATGGTTAAGTTATTAGTTGCAAATTTTCTGTAGTTTTTAGCTCATTTATTAAAGAATGCCTGTTGAGGAATTTAGGGAGTTTAAAACACAAACAATTTTGCTGTTGTAGACATTCATTTTGCCAGTTTTGACTTGTGAGAAATGCTAATGAATCTCCTCAACTCATTGTTTTAAAGAGTGAAGAATAAGATTTTTTTGTGGTGATAATCAATATTTATGGTACAAGTTGCAGAGTAAATTAGAGTTTGCATGATTAAGAAAAAATTGAGCTTGGAGTCAACATAAATGTCTCTTCTGAAGTCCTTATTTCTTTAGAAATTAATGAAGAAAATTGCATGAATTCACCTCCAAGACTTCAGTGCTTCAGTGAACTCAAAGATCTTGTTCTAGTTTCTATCATTTGATCACATAATGTTCAAAATTATTTTTCCAGGGTGCTGTGTTTGATCTGCCCTCCGAGCATGACCAGGAGGTTAAAGACGCGTGGCAAGATGGACAATATGACACACTAGAGGTTGCCAATGAGCTACCAGAGCTTCTTGAGAGTGCAGATAGGGGGAGCTTCAATAGAGGCAACCGTGGTGGATTTGGTGGAAATAGAAACAGTTTTGGTGGAAATAGAAACAGTTTTGGTGGAAATAACAATGCTAGCTTTGGAAGGAACCAAAGTCCTGGATTCAGAGGCAGAAGTAATGGATATGGCACCAAGAGGAGCTTTGCAGGTTCAAATAACTCAAGTAGTTCAAATAAAAAAATGAGATTTGATGAATAGTTTCAACATCATTCTCAAATTATAGACTGCACAAGTTCTTCCTACCTCATGTAAGAATCTGAGAAATTGAAAGGGCACACAAGGCACAAAATGTGAACCATTTGAGTGACACTGAGTGATGGAGGTGCTGAACTTCTATTTTATTCTTCTCTTTAGAGTTGACCTTCATATAGTCCCATCTGACTGGTTCAGGGAAAAATATTATTGACTCGACTAACTAGGAATGGTTCTGAAATTACCTTAAATTGTTATACACATACACGTGTAAAGATATGTGGTTAGTACAACCAAGCTTTTAGTAGAATGAAAATGCGGTAAAATAAATTATTGAATTCTCCAAATCTGTGTTTTGTATCAAAATGTTGATAATAGCATGGAGGAACAACTTCAATGTTTGACCAGGTTGAGTGAATCACTTTGATATTTTTTGAATGGTCACTGATTTCAAAATGGCAGCTGTCTCAATTTTGTCGTATTTGACAAAAATTTTAAACAATGCTGGCCATTTTGAAATTGGTTGTCATTTTTATCGTACCTAAAAAAAGGTACGATATTATCTTCAGCTTGACGGGTGGCGTCTCACTTTCTTGTCATCACGATTCCAAGAAAACCACTTGATGAATTTACTTCAAATTTTCACGCATGTTACATGGTAAGAAGTTCTAGAGCTGATTAACTTTTGGATGGCCATCATGCATTCTGGTGGCCATCTTGGAAGTTTTAGATAAATCTTGTCATCGCGATTCTAGGAAAACAACTTGATGGATTTCACACATGATGCAAGATAAGAAGTTCTACAGCTGATTAACTTTTCGGCGTCCATCTTGCATTCTGGTGGCCATCGTGGAAGTTTTTAGATAAATCTTGTCATCGCGATTCCAGAAAAACTGCTTGACAGATTTTCTTCAAATTTTCACACATATTACAAGATAAGAAGTTGATTAACTTCGGCAGCCATTTTGCATTCTGGTGGCCATCTAATGGATGTTTTTAGATAAATCTTTGTCATAGCGATTCCAGGAAAACCACTTAATGAATTTATTTAAAATTTTCACACATGATTCATTGTAAGTTCTGGAGCTGATTAAATTTTTGGTGGTGATCTTGCATTCCCGCAACCATCTTGGAAGTTTTTAGATAAGTCATTACAATTACAGTAAAACCTCTCAATGGATTTACTTCAAATTTCCACGGTCTTCAAGCTCACACTGCTTTGTTTTAGGTATGATATTGTTCACCCTGTGCCTTGTTACTCAATGTGGTAAACCCAAGTAATTTATACATTCACTCAAAGAGACTGACCGAGTAATATTTAATACAAAAGCAGAAAAACAATTACCTGGCATTTGAAATTAGATGAAAATACAAAAACACAAGGTTAAGGAATACCAACAGTGAATATATTTGCATTTACTATTTGCACTTTTGCATTTTTAGTCACAACTTTACATTTTAGTTAAAATAACAGCTCAAACTGGACAATTTCAAACATATAATTTATGGAAAATAAGCACTCATATTTCTCAGTTGATCATTGAGAATTTAAATATGTAAAGCAGCCAGTTCATGTTAATGTTCGAAAAAAGCAACCACCAGTCCACCACACTTTGAATGGTAATGCACCAGTGCATATGTTCAAAAATATCAGTCATGCCTGGGTATAACTTATCTCTACTGTCTAATTTCAATATGAAGTCATTTTGTGCCTTTCACACTGATAATGATGCAACAAATAATTTAATTTGATATTTGTTTTATATAGAGTATTAGGCCAATGTTGTCTATTAGTTGAAGATTCCATGCAATCCTATGATTCTAATCTGCTGGAAACAAAATCAAAATTATATTATTTTGTGAAGTGAACTATTGGCATGTTGTTTCACAATCCCACTTACTGATATGTTTTCTAACTAAAGAAATGTGGATCTCTTTCATTATTTATGCATACCAAATCAATTATTCAATAATGTTAACATATTGCGATATTGAAGTATAATAGTGTGTGTGTTTTCATATCTTATAGCATATATCATTTCTGACAGCATTACATGTATTGTACCTGCATCCATGTGAGATCAAAAGGAGATGTCTGAAAGCATATTGGAGCTTGTGTCAGGACAGTATCCAGTGTTGAGGCAGAATACACCAGGTATCAGGATGTTACTCAGTAGGAATGGAATGAGGTTGACAGCAAGGTATAAGCACTTATCCAGAATCTAAAAATTGCGCAGGCATGATAGATTAGTCTAATAAGGCATATTTTGTGAAGAACCTTGACAATTTGAGTTTTATTTTTAACGGCTGATGATAATACATGCATTACTAATAGTATAGTTCTCATAACATTGTCCTCATTTCTTTATTTTTTGTAAAATTCTTATGAGATTATCACAGAATGTGCAGTACGAAAGGTCAAAAAGGTCTTTTTTCAACTTGCTTCATATTGACCAATTTCTTTTTCAAAGTCAGCTACATGATCTTAAGTTCAAATCTGAAATGTCACCTTCAATGACCTTCTCAAGGTCAAAAAAGCTCACCATGCGAGCTAAAAAGGTCTTTTTTCAACTTGCTTCAAATTGACAAAATTCTTTTTTTCAAAATCATCTACTATATCTTAGAAGTTCAAATCGGACTTGAGATTTGACCTTCAACGACCTGCTCAAGGTCAAAAAGGATTTGACCTTCAATGACATTTCAAGGTCAAAAAGTCTTTTCAACTTGCTTCAAATTGATCACATTTTTTACAAAATCATCTACAAGTTCTCAGAAATTCATATTGGACTTATATTAAGATTGAACTGACTATATTGTGAGCAACTAGGTGGTGACATTTTGTCATGTTAATGCCTTGTTTAACATGGGATTCAATGGGAGGAAAACATGGGACTGGAAAAAAGTATTTGAATTGGAAGGTGTTTGGATTAGCCAGGTGTTCGGATATACAGGATTCACTGCATGGTTAGGTATCAACAAAATCATTCTCATTGTATGGTCCAAACATACTGGAAAGAAAGTAAATGTGCAAAATTCAACTTTTCTCTATGTATATTGGGCAAATCAGCGGTGAGTCTAACATCATTTCTGATGAAACATAATAAGCATCCCTTGTGACATCACACAATTCACATGACCATTATAATAGTTAACAAGGCGTAAAAAAATATTATGCGGTCAATCTTAAGTCAGATTTGAATTTTTGAGAACTTGTAGATGATTTTGAAAAAAGAATTGGTCAATTTGAAGCAAGATGAAAAAATACCTTTTTGACCTTGAGAATGTCATTGAAGGTCAAATCTATAGCCAGATTTGAACTTTTGAGTACTTGTAGATGATTTTGAAAAAAAATTGGTCAATTTCAAGCATGTTGAAAAAAGACTTTTTTGACCTTTTTTGACCTTGAGAAGGTCAAATCTCAAGTCAGATTTGAACTTCTGATAACTTAATGTAGATGATTTTGAAAAAGAAATTGGTCAATTTGAAGCAAGTTGAAAAAGATCTTTTTTTTACCTTTCTAACCTTTTTATACCTTGAAAAGGTCATTGAAGGTCAAATCTTAAATATAAAGTCAGATTTAAACTTCTGAAAACTTGTAGATGATTTTGAGAAAATTGAAGTCAGTCTTAACAGTATTTGTTAAGTTATTGGAAGTTGTAAGAATTTGTTACAGACGCCGATCGCCAACCACTAACCACGGACTGCCGTGGTGACGTAAAAACAATAAACAGATTATTATGTATTTAAAAATGGTTAATGGGGGTCATTCTAGCAAGATTGTTTTAAGAGCCCAAGTCCCCTGATTTTTGTTACTGTATGGCAACAACTTTGAACTAAATATTTTTATTACACTAATTTTTGCTATTGTACATTGAAAACTAAAAATCTGTTGGTGATGGTGGTCTAGTGATCAACATATAGACTGGGACAATGTTACAGTTCTTGACAATGAGGTCGAAATACATAAAAAGACTAAAAAGATCCACCAACTAGCTCCAACAATGAATATAGGGACAGAGGGGTGAACTATGATCCAATTTACCATCAACTTTTGAGATGAACTCCAAGCCAAAAAAAACAAGCATCACACAACTGAAGAAGTCTTATGGTGTAAGACGAAATATTTTATCTAACATTCCTAAAAACTTGTCTGTGACAAACTTTTAACTGAAGATACATGAAGCATTATTAGAGATTTATCACCTTTTTGTCAACAGATGGCGGAATGGTGGAGTGACATAACTTTGTCAAGTATTCCCGAATGTTGCTCTGGAAAAAGAATTGAAAAAATAATGAGACATGAAGAAAAGGTTTATGGTCTGAATTTTAAAATTATGTTTACAGAAGAACCTTATTTGGTGTACACTCATGATTCAATCAAACTCCTATAAAAGGCAATGAAAGCTACATTTGAGGTCATCAATATCATGGAGTAAAGTTTGAATTTTAGGTGGACTCAATGGTACAAATTATGACCCCTTAATTTTCTCAGGACTGCTTTGTTTTGATATCTCACTATAATTGTATGTACATTAAAGTTTAGTACTACAAGATGTTCAATAAGTATGTCTAAAAGTATGTCTAATTTTGTTGTAACTTTTGTTTCTTGCTTTTTTTCATGAAACTTCCACAACATAAGGAACATATATTTGACCTTATTCTATAAAAATTTTCTAACAATCCGTTAAGTATTGACGAAGTTATGGTTACCAGCGGCATAACAAGGAATTTGATAGCAGATACGGGAGGCCGAAGGCTGAGCAAAAGTAGGGGGTCCAGGCATCCACCCTAAAACTCTGCCTTATCAGACTTTGTAATGGGCCACTATTTATTGTATACATTATATTTTGCTTTCCTTTTTATGTCCCCACCACATAGTGTGGGGCCATAATGTCGGCCTAGGCGCGTCTGTCTGTCTGTCCGTCTTTCCGTACGTCCGGCAGTTTTCTCCAAAACTGCTACAGATATCACCTTCAAATTTTCAGGGATAACTTATGAGTGCATACAGATCTGGATGAAAAAAAAATTAACTCGATACCTACATGTACTTCCGTTCGGCCATTTTGAAGTCAAATGCTAAAATCCTTGTCTGCAAACTTTAAGAAAAACGGCTTCACAGTTGCTTTTGAAACTTATACATCTTATTCAGCTCACTTCATTCTAGATCTGATTAGGTTTTGGACCTGTTAGCTCAGTCATGTCAGCCATTTTGAATGTTTTAAGAAAAGTTAGCGCACGATAATACTTTGTATCATATTGAATGGTGTTTTTCAGTTTTCATACTTTAACTATTTAGTAGCTTTATAAATAATTTCAGGTGTACTTGTTAACATTGTTAACAGTAGTTATATGTGATAATTTTGTAAAAAGAAATCAGCAAAAACTCATGATCACTTTTTTATTGTCGGCCGTTTTGGATTTTTCCGTCCTAAAATCTTGTCAGCAAAGTCTTGTCTACGCATTTTCAGGTGAACCGTTTGGTAGATCAATTTCAAATTTGCAGGGATGATTCTTAGTATGAAAATCTAGATCTGATTAGTTTTTGGGCATTCTGGGTAAATGTCAAGGCAGCCATTTTGGATTTTCCGTCCTAAAATCTTGTCTGTAAAGTCTTGTCTACGCATTTCCAGGTGAACTGTTTGGTGGATCAATTCCAAATTTTCAGGGATGATTCTTAGTATGAAAATCTAGATCTGATAAGTTTTTGGGCATTCTGGGTAAATGTCAAGGCAGCCATTTTGGATTTTCCGTCCTAAAATCTTGTCTGTAAAGTCTTGTCTATGCATTTCCAGGTGAACCATTTGGTAGATCAATTTCAAATTTTCAGGGATGATTCTTAGTATGAAAATCTAGAACAGATTGGTTTTTTGGCATTCTGGATAAATGTCAAGGTAGCCATTTTTGGATTTTCTGTCCTCAGTTTTGTTTACTTGTTTTCTGGTTAACTTTGTGACGGATCAATTTCAAATTTTCAGGGGTGGTTCTTAGTATGAAAATCTAGAACTGTCTAATTTTTGGGCATTCTGGGTAAATTTTAAGGTGGCCATTTTGGATATTCCGTCCTCAAATTGTGTCGGTAAAGTCTTTGTTGTCTACTCATTTTTAGGATAACCATTTGACGGGATAACCCATAGGTGGGGACATTTTGTACACATTTGTGTTCTTGTTTATTTTTTAACAACAATTAATTTTTAGCTCCATCATTCAGGATACGCAACTGCGTACCCTCGCGTATGCCTGGCTATGCACCTGGTTACTATGGAAACCACTGTCATGGGTATGTGGAGCAACCTTAAGGGTTTACATGACGAATTGTGTTATACATCAAATAAACAATTTTTTATGAATAAATTTTGATGTTGTGAGTTTGTATTATGTATTAACTAACAAAGAGCTGTGGTATCACAATATTTTTATAATAATATATCTGAGAGAAATAGCCCACCAGAATCTCAATTAGCTGATGTCTGCAGTGAACACCTCCCTTGCCACACACTTCAAGGATGGCTTCAAAAATGTGTACCACCAGTGGGTCGCCAGACAGCAACCGTGGATTGATGCAATTAGGGTGCCTAATTTGAGCACATCATGAAGTCAGGCCTGTAGCCACTGTATATGCTTGTAAGAATTTTTGGCCTCAACCTTCACAGCCCCCTGTGGGCTTGTGATGTGAAGATGGATCAAAAGTAACTCAAGAATGGATAAACTCTGCTGCATATCCCTAGTAAACAGTAATATGTGATACTGCTTTCAAAACACTGGAAATGTTGTCCAAATGTGACGTCAGAACTTTGCCCCGCATACCCATGACAATAGTTACAATAGTAACAATAACTTTGTCAAAAACTAAGTTGATTGTCAGGAAATTTTAATAGCATAAGGTCAGATAAATGTTTCTTCTGTTTTGAAAGTTGCATGAAGAAAAAAGCAAAAGTTATAACAAAAGTTATAACAAAATTAGCAATACTTATTGAATGTCCTGTAGTAAGATGCCTTGTGGGCAGAGAAAACTCACATAGTTCTTCTCTAAGTAATCATCAAGTTTATCCATAGCATCCATGCAGACATTGCAACGTTTGTTTGTATTACTGAAGTCGAGCCTTACACCACCTGTTAGTAGCAGAAATAGAACTTTTACTTATTGATGAACAACCTTTATAAAATTTGTTACAATGCATGTCTCAAATATGTAATTGTTGTTATAAAACAATCCGATGCACACCATGTATTGTTTGGAAATTATTAATATAATTTGTATAAATAAGGAAGTATTTATACTGCTATTGAATCTGCTAATGATGATATCAAGTTCATGTGAATAAGATGTCTAAATTTAATTACTTTTACAGAAGCCAGATTTCAAGCAAGCATTTGCAGGAGACAGCCCTTCCTGGATTAGGTCCCTCAGAATACCCTCAGCTGTTGTGGCTGCTAGTTTGCACTTCAAGAAAAATATAAAATAACTAGACATTGGAAACTAAATAAATTCAAAGGTAGTTTCCAAATAGAAATAAAGTCCAGAGTCATAGACATTGACCAATCAACTTTATGTTGAAGAGGGATAACCAGTTATTTGCTTTTTATGGAATGATAAGTGGATTTATCCAAATCATTCCAGGTTTAAACATGTTAAATTGTGTTGTGCCAACCACTCGACCAATTATGATCATACTCGATATGGTATCCCTGAAAATTCCAACTTGATTGGAGAATAGTATAGAAATAATCAATGTTTATAACAGCAACCCCTCTTAAAAATAGCCCTGTGGGTATTGATGGTGATTATTCGAAGAGGCTGAAAATCAGACATAGAGTGAACAAAAGGTTTGCCTCAGAATACCCACTTTATCTAATTTACAATTACAGAAATGTATTCTACTTTTACAGATGACTTTTTATGATCTGATGTAATGATTAATTTGACTCACCGTTATTGTATTATTGACAGTTGACATGCAACCATCATATATAAATTGTTTTATTTCATCAAATACTGCTGATTTGTTGACACTTTTCTGGATCAAGGTCACAAAATATTTACATAATTCACACTCTGCATCTACCTGAAACATATTTGACCATTCATAACACATAACAAAGATTTGTGTAAATGTATTTTTTATAATTTATATCAATTAATTGTATGATAATATATCAGGTAAATATATAAAATCAAAATCTAAGCTTAAATTCCCCCAAATTATTGGTATATACATGGTAGGCTAAAAACATGCTTTGTTATTAATTGTAGAAACACTAATGGGAAGACAAACAATTAAATCTTATTTGCATTAAAACAGTAGGTCTGGACCCTAAGCAAGACAGTTGGTTTTTGTGGCGGACACATGGACAACCAACTACTGCATAATGTTCCTCCATATATGCTCTACATTGGACTATGTTACATTTTTCGGGTAACAGGGGCTTTCTCTTAGAAAATGAGGATTTAAGCAAGGATGTATTGACTTAACATGGGGATGGATATCATCAGATTTCTAAACTATCATAGAATTTTTATACATGTCACATTACCTTTTTTCTTAATAAGGGAAGTCAGTACTTTGAAACCGTATGTTTATTTCTTGTGGCGGAGTGTTTTTGGACTTGATTGCTGCTACAGAAAAACAAGAAATAGTATGCTGTTTTGAGCCCACCCTGTAGATTTCACTTCTCATTCTTATATTTCTAATAATATATCAGGGGCGTCAGAAGGATTTGCCAAGGGACTTTTGGATATGGATGGGCCGTGTGTGAAGCGTGGATTGGAGGGGGGGGGGCATGCCCCCAGTCAAATTTAGACCCTCTCTGGTGCATTCTGAACATATCTCATCAGCACAACATTCCCAATAATAAAAACAAGAAAAACTTGTAGGAAACTAGCTTGACTTTGACCAAAAAACTTTGAATTTTACTAAAATATACATTTTGCCCTTATTCTTCAAAGTATTTACATACTGTATTGGTTCCTGAGAAACTATGGTACAGAATTAAGTATGATATGAGAAATGAGATCTTCTATGCTTGGCCACCATTTTTCAAAATGGCCACCATTTTATCCTATTTTACTATAACTCGAAAAGTAGTGGAGCGATTCTCTTCAAATTTGGTATGTGAATACTATAAGCCTGGCACACTGTCTAATGACACTTGTGGTAGAAGGTAGTCATTTTGAAAAATGGCTGCCATTTTTGCTAAATTTTTTTTATAAAAATGCCAGCCATGGCTGTTCGATGGGATTTGCTACGCTTTGGCGTTGCTGTTGTTTAGTTACACTTCAACTTTAATTAGATATCAAAAGCTTTCAATTCATGCTCAATTTCAAATCTAAAAAACTCTGAGAAAGGGGGGGGGGGGCGTTGGCCCAAACACCGCCTCCCCCTTCTGACGCCAATGTATATAATGTGAGACAAATAAAAGATCTGAGTAGCAAAAGATATACTTACTGTTACACTTTTTGAAGTTAATATTTCTATATAATCTGTAGAGTTGATTTCATCAGAATTATTTTCTTCACATTTCTCACAAAAGTCTAAGGCTTGCTGCAAGATTCAAAAAGTTGATTATAATGCACAGCTTATCAACTGAATGTTGTACTCCTGGTAAAAATATGATTGCACAGGAATTGAAAATGGAATCAAAAGCAGCATGAGTAGACTAGATTTCGATCATTTCAATAAACTTGTCGAAAAAAACAATTTACACAACCTCAAATAATCAAACTACTCTTAACGCACATGCTATCTGTTGCGAGACTTATACCTGGCACAACCATCACCATGTTATTAAATGTTTTTAAGTTTCGCAAGGATCCTGCCATGAAGCTTTGAACTGAATTTACGCTTCTTAATGCTAAAATTGATAGTTTATCCATACGTTTTAAGAAAATAGCTATGTCAAAGAAGACGTTAAGCCAAATGTTGCCCTGATAGCTCAGAAAAAGTTTAAATTTTCTCTCCACAGGCCTTGTTGCCCCTTTAATGTATACCTTATTAAAATGAGGTAGGAGTATATCATTGGTGATCTCTTGAAGTCTTCTGCATTTTACTTGCTCTTTTGTATCTTTGCACAGAAGAGGTGTTGCCTGTAATACATAAGTATACAATAATACAGATGTTTCATGTGAAATTACTAGCCTATTATAGTAATATTTGGTTAAGACTTAAGTACAAGATTCTAATATGATATTTGACACAATAGCTAGAGCAATCTATTAACTGGTCTATATTTGAGTGTGTCAGACCACTAAAATTCATAAATGCAAATAGTTGTTTTCTTGTGTGTTAATCATATAAGATTCTTATAACAGGTTAGCAAATAAGTATATCATTGACTGCAGCACAAACACCACTGGGATAAATAATGCTCTAACTACATGTATTATAGACAAAAGGAATCTATATATCATTAAACTTTGTTTTGGTCTGCTGCAACTGTGTTAAGAAAAGACAATGCTTACAATGAGTTGAGTGTATTCTTTTATTGTAGTTTGCTTGTTCGCCTTACATACTTTGCATATATCCTCATTTATCAAAGATGATGAACCTGCAAATATCAGAAATGTACGTAAATATTCAAATCATCTTAGTTGAAGTTCAGTTCAGTAATAATTACAGCTCTTCTAGTGAACAACTATGCTATAAGCAATAGCTGTATAAATCCCTTCTCCCTACATTGGATGTATACATTCTCCCTGCATTCGACATTGGTCGCAAGTTTTGTCAATCTCAAATTGCAGAATTGTTCATTTTCCTTTTTGAATCGATTAACCCAAGTCAGTATTTCAAAATGTTTGCCATCAACTTGAAGAAATACTTATGAAGATTTATGAATGTTATCAAAGTGAATGCTGATCCAGATCCATGTTCTCCATAAAGTCAGACTAACTTTTTATGTTACTCAAATACAGGGATTGAAGAAGAATGAATAACATTCCACTCAAAATAATAGTTACAATGTAATGTAAATTTAGTACATGTACATTATCATGTAGAGTTACTTGAGTCTATAAGAAGGTGAATGTACTATAAATCTAGTACAGTTTGGACCATAAACAATGGCGTAGTGTCATATACGCATAAGACGCAATGGCGTACTCTCAAATTTAGAGAAAAGTTATTTTTTTATATTGAACACTTTAAAATACTGGATCTTCTGAAATATGGCCAATGATTTACATTTAAAAAGTCCATATTAATCTAAATTTCGTATTTAAAAACACCCCAGATGGCTTTAAACGCAATCTCATTCGTGGCACGCACTCACAAAATACCCACGCTACGCCACAGATAAATAAATGAGTAGTCCATTATCTATCACTATATTGTTTCAATGTTAATTTTTTATTTTTTATTCTAAATTAAGTATAGTGGGCCTTCAAATGCCATTAAAAGTAACACAGCAGATTGTCTAGTGGGGGTAAAACTAGTGGAACCTACAAACATGCAAATTAATTTAATCAATCAACCATTTAGAATTACATTTTACATGTAAACAAATGTGTTTGACACCAACATTTACATAGGACACTTATAGTCTGAATATTTCAACCAAATTTCAAAATACTAGTCCAAACTGTAGAGCTACTGTCAATGTAAACAAACACTTCCATATTATTTTCTAACGTAAGAAGAGCATGTCATTAAAATATAATATGAAAATATTATAGAATAGAGATTATATAAACGTATTAATGGTTATAGATTCGTAAACATACCTGTATTACTTAACAATAAAACGATAACAAATGGAAATGACATGTACTTCCACAATTTTACGTCCGCCATTTTGTTCCTAGATCATGTGATTAATCACATGGGCCAGACACGTGATATTTTGACCTTGGTCTTGAAAGTTCATAATAATATTTGAACATGGCTGGAGAAGAAACACAGGCTCTGCATATTTCCGAACCCAGGGACAGAAGTAAGAAACATGGTCCCTGTGGATGCGATACCTACCATTGTTATAAATACATTTTACTGGCCTATGCAATCTTATTTCTGGTGAGTAGTGAAATCTTGGAGAAAATGCATGCAAAGTCAAACTGTAGCCATTGCAAGGCTCAAAATTTGACATGTCAAAATAAGTGTATGTGGAAGGTCATTTTGTCATTAACTTTTGGGCGATTAGATTAGATCAGCATTTCATAATTATAAATTGTCATGGGCGTCAGAAAGAGGGTGCGTTGAGTGCAAATGCACCCCCTCTGAAACTGCCTAAAATTTTTTTTTAGATATCACAGTGTAAAAGGGTAGGAGCACAGTCAGCACTATCATATATTCTAAAAATATAGTGAATAGATCTCTAATTTATAAGTAAAGAAAAGTCCACAAGGCGTTTGTGACAATATTTTCCGGAAGTGTTATATTTCCATGTATCGTTCAAACTGTGACATTTATGCTAATAATTCGACATGTATATGATTCTTTCATACCCAATACGATAAAAAACGTTACTAACATACCAAATGAAAGGTGATTTCCTGGTAAAACTTGCAAAAGTTGGTCCAGATTCACACTCGAACCATCCACTTCCTCCAATACGCATGCACAGCCCGATGTAAAAAATAAACCTATCTGATTGGTTGTTGTTGTAAACAGTGGGAGTTTTAAAAATGGAGGTGTCACTACGGTAAATCATTGAAAAATATTGAAAAAAATCACAAATTTCAAGTTCTTGGCTACATATCGCCATTTTCGAACGAACTGGCCCATACAATGACTATATCCATAACCTTCATCTTGACACTATATTTAACATAGGGTTTGCGTCTCGATTTTTAAACATCACTCCGCCAACATAGAGACTCATTTTTAGGTAAAATCCCTGCTTCACCGATGAAAATTAACGAATAAAGTAGTTCCAGTTTACGGGACTATATTCTTGCGATTTTATTCTAAAAATGGCACATTTAGAAAGTACTTGGCCTCAGCTTTACATACATACCTCAAATGGCCACAATGCATATACTTAAACCTACTATACATACCATTGAAGTTGGCATGGCTTTGTTTTTAAAGTATTAAAAAACAAGTCCTACCCGGAAGTGGTATTTACCGTAATAACATCTTAATATCCAAAAATGGGAAAATTTTACTATCATAATTTTTGCTCATTCAGCATTTTTTCAAACTATTGAGTTATTTCAGGCTCAAAACAGCTGCATTTCAAACTTTTAACACGTTTTCTACAAAATCTAGCCATATTTGGGGAAATAGGTGAGGGCTGAGTCTCTAAAAACGGGCCAAAATGACCTAAAATTGGGTCATCAACTTCAGGGATCTCATTCAAAAATTTTAGAAGATTATTTCATTTTGTAAATCATTATAGCAATGTATTTCAAGTATTACACAGAATGTACTGAAATGTAGGTTGCTAAATGCAAATATTTTGAGTCAAATGTGGTCCCCATGTGCAAAATTTGCCCTTTTCTCCCCCTTTACGCCAGTTAGGCCCCAGTGTATTGTGACATCATACTCATACCATTGCTACAATGTAGCAATTTACAAATTAATCATGATTACTCCTCCTGTGATACACCTGTGGTAGTTGAACACTGTTTTTGCATCACAATATTCCCCAGTGTGTTGACTGATTACACGCCAGCTTACTTAGTTACTTACTAAGTACGCAATAACCACCGTCAAAGACCTGCCGGCACCTATTTTTTGGGCTGGTAATGGAATATTACAAGGGCAATACGAGAAGAATTCAATTTTTCAGAATTTCATAATAATTACAGGACATCTTACGGTAGTTTGAACAAGAACACTGTTATTTCCAGCAGAAATGTGGTAGATTTTCAAATATTTACGGTATATTTTACGGCCGTTCTTATAGAAAAAATCGAATTATAATGAAATATTTTACGGTAGATTTTGGTAAAGTTACAGCAGATTTTTACGGTCTTTTTTACAGGAAAATGGTAATTTTTTTATGGTATTTAGATTTTTTATGGAAAAAACAAATATTTTTTGGTTGATTCCCGTAAAAATACGGTAGGTTGGCTGGTATGAGTTACCATGGCAACCGTGGAAATGGGTAAAAAATGAAAGCAAAAAACACCCAGACCCGCCATAATGGCACTAATTTTCAAAATATTTCGAGACATACAAATTTTTTTCAACTTTGATATCGTCTAGAACACTTCGAGACAACATCAAAAATTGTTGGAAGGTTTATCACTTAAATTTTTTGCAAGCCTTGGTCAAAGTAAAACTACGAAAAAAGCACTCACTTTCACTTTAGAATCACCTATTAGAATCACCCAAATGGCGAAATGTTGTCAAGGTCGCCATGTTAAAAGTAAAATTACGGAGCTAGATCTGCTCTTCAGACAATGTTTGATAGCTTTCCTTTACCATGGAACAAAGATCTTTGCACTGGCAACACTGGTATGCCCATTTCCATGAGATAATGCATGTGAAAGAGGAACAGTGTCTTTAAATGTCATCAAAACTTTTTCGCACTACTTTTGGTGTAATAATACCATCTGATTGATTGTTGGTGTAAACAGTGAGTCGGGATTCCCGGGATTTGGGCTTTAGGATACGATTTTACACTGAACGAGATGTAGCGACGCAGTTGTGAAACAAAAATGGCAAACAGCTTTTGCACTTCTAGTATTTTATCTATAAAGGTAGAATATACCATTGATAGTGCTGACTTTGGGTAGGAGGTCCTATCAAATTATGGTCCTACTCTCCATTGATTTATATGGTGACCTAAATACAACTCTTTCCCTTATTATCTTGTACACAATCAGGGCCAGTAAGGGCCGTTTAGAAAGGAGACCATAATCCCCAGGGGACCATAATTTCTTTCACAACGGTTTTAGATTTACGCTATCATGAAACCCTGTTTTGTTTTATTGCTTTTTGCGCTATATTGATGGACTGTTGCTATAAATGAACTAAAATGTAATAAACATACCTTCATCGAACTTAATCCTTGTTGCGTGTTAAAAAAGGCAAGAACTTAAACTTCGACATATAAGTGTTACCTGATGAATGGCCTCACGTGCCTTCCAAATGGTAGTAAACGAACTCCAATGTAACTATATCAGCTTATCTTTCCATCCGATCAACAAGAAATGTAAACAAACTGAAAAAATTCCGAAAAATTTTCCGACTAGCTTGTTATTTCCGGAAGTTATGATTCGTTATATTACCGAACATGAGTGAAAATGGAATGTTTGTTCTTTCATTTTACGAGAGCTAAATAAAATGCCAACATCCAAGCATCAACGTCTGTGTCCCGCAAAGTTCTTTATAACATTGAATTCATGCTTTCACTCGAATCACCATAATTTTCATTGTTGATGATATCATCACTTCTATCTGACTCTGCTCATAATCCAATGACTTTGGTACGTGTTATTTTGTATCTACCAAGATGGTAAACATATGAAAAAAAGTTATATATTTTGATTGGTCTAAAATGTGCAAAGTTAAAAGACCCGTAACGCTCATTCGCTCTCAATTTTGAATAAGATAAGTTATCAGTAGAATGGCTACTAAAATGAAAAAAGATTGACCAGTAGAGATTAAGAACTTGAAACATATTCATTTTTATCCATAAATATGGATAATAATTGATTTAAATGCAATTTCGTGCTATTCCTATCCTCCAATGTTGATAGCTTAATTTCTGTTGTGTCAGTCTGGGTCAAAATGTTACAATAGTATTAATAACGAGGAACCCTTCTAATAAAGGCAATAAATCAAGGTTCGAAAACTCCCAAAAGTAACCTAACACTATTTCATCATCAGCACGTCATAAACTCAATGATGTCATCGGATCTCAACAGATTTTACTCAAGTAATCTTCGGATTCTGAGATCCTTTTACTCAAGATATTTTCGGATCTTTATAATATTACTCATCGATCGGTCCGATGTCCGATAACATCGGATCTTTTAGGACAAAGTTTATGTGAAGATTTTGCTGTTCAAAAGTGCTATTTTGACCTAATAGTTTGACACTTAATATATTATGCATACACTGTATGATATGAATTTACCGACCCAGGTATGTCTTATGTATGTCTCATCAATTAACGCGAATATGAATGAGAAAACAAACCGAAAACCATTATATGTTTACTTATCTCTTAATTTGGACTCGATAAAGAAGAATCATCAAAGCTCATCAAGAATGGACGATCTTGCACAGGTTTTGATTTGTTATAGTCATATAAAAAACCTTTATATCTTAGTTAAAAAATTCTAAAATCCACATGGTTTTTATTTCATTTCCTGTTTGATGTAAATTTCTGATAACTACCCCAACACCTTAAATTATTTATATTATTCAATTTTGAATGCAAATCAATTGTAAACGGCAGTGTATTTTTACCCGTTTTGTTCATTTCAGTTAAGTTAAAATGGTTTAAACGAAAGGCAAGCAAACACTTAGGCTCCTGACCTGCCAACCTATCATTTCTACAGGAACCTATCCTAATTTTTTCTGTCATTCAACGTTGAAGCTGCCTATATATTTATAATGAAAATTATATATTTTTAAGGAAAATGATTTGTTATAGTCATACTGATGACTGAACACGATGTACTGCTACGTACATTTTCTTGTCAGGATCAAAAGTGACGAACCATTTAACCACACCATTGGGAAGCTTTTGTCGTATTGAATGTAGTTTTTACTTGATTGATTGATGTTAAATCTATAGATAATCCTTGAAAATTAAAAATATATTTTGGAATTATATGGTTCAATCTTATACTCAAAATAAAATGTTTTAAAGTGTATTGATGTTTTTTGGATGAAAAACATAAATGAAATGCATGAAAAAACTCCCCCCATTCATTCTACAAACAACTCCCCCTCCTTTTGTTGTGGATTTGATTTTAAATGGTTCTAAATGATCATCAAATGCTTAACTATGATTTCTAATAGTACTGATGTGACTTCCCCGGTCCATAAAAAGAACATTATCACCATTTACTTCACGCATTTACCCGACTCGAAAATTCACTTCCGGTTCATCTCAATAAAAGTTGTCGTGAACAACTTTCAATTCCCAGTCTAAATAATGCTTTTCAAGGTTCAAAATCTAACTTTTTTGAACCATTTTATCAGCTCTGAAGTACAGTGTGCCTTTAATTAAAGCTTTAAATACATGTATTTATAAATAATTTGTTCTATTTCAGATTGTGGGGATCATTTGCCTGGTTGCTGGTATCTGGGGCAGTATAATCAAGCAGAACTACCACTCAGTCAATGATTTTCTGTCTAGTCCTGCGACATTAGCTATAATCATTGGTGTAGTTGTCATCATAACTGCCATATTAGGAATAGTGGGTGTCATCAAAGAACATGTTACTCTGGTGAAAATAGTAAGTGGAAATTATGTGACTTTGAAATATAGTACCCCGAACAGATTTCTGGCTATTCTTTCTCAAAAAACATTTGGTGGTTCATTTTGATGTTTTTCTACAACTGCTTAGTTATTGGGCATTCTGGGTAAATTTTTAGGTGGCAAAAGACAAAAGAGAACAGTTTACTGGGCTAATGATTTATTATGAAAAATATAGAAATAACACCCAAATTAAATTATGAATATTCAAAAGAGGACATTTAAATCTACAATAAGTAAAAATATCAAAATTGCCCGAAACAGGCATAATGTGCAGTAGACTGATTCAATAAAAGACAAGTCTAGATTCGGAGAACGAAGTTTATCAGTCTACTGCACTAATGATTTTTGGCTCACACAGTGAGCCTATGGGATCGTCCAGGCGTCCGTCCCTTGGTCCATCCGTCCGTCCGTCCCTTGGTCCATCCGTCCGTCCGTCCGTTGGTCCGTCTGTCCGTTGGTCCGTCCGTCCGTCAACATTAGCCGCACAAATTAAAACTGCTATTCGGATTGAGTCACATGCACTTTCATTTTATGCATATCCATAATGCCTATTTTACCTATCATCACCATTTCCCAAGTTCGCCCGTTTTCCGAGAAATTGCTGATTTTGATGTCAAAAAGTCAAATTTTCTGTAAATACTAGACACTTTGTTGAAGTAGAACTTTCAAATAACTTGTAGTAGTTGCTGTATATGCAGCCTATGTCCTCTGAAGATTTCAAAGCTCTTGGAATTACAGTTTTTGGTGTTTACTCAATAAAATTTGACAAAAAGTAGGACTTAGTCATTTTCAGGAACTTTCTCATGTATAAAGTCCATGGCAGGTTTCGTGATTGACAAGTTTCTCAAAGTTTGCCTTATACTCGATCATTTCTTGCAATGAATTACATCATTACTAGATTTAAGCATTCCCTACATATTGCTCAATATGTGTCAGCATCAAATTTTTACAGTTTTTGAGATATTTGACGTCAAATAACAGTAAAAATAAGTTATTTTTCAACTTGCTTCAATTTGACCAATTTTTTTTTGAAAATCATCTACAAGTTGCCAGGAGTTCAAATCTGACATTAGTTTTAGGATTTGACCTTTACTTGACCTTCAGTGACCTTCGAAAGGTCAAAAAAGTTGATTTTTCAAATTGATTTTTGAATGTACATTTTGGTCAGCTTAATCACAAAAGACCTTACTGAGCTCTGAATAAGTAAAATTTTCAAGGTCAAAGGTCATCAAACTAGGTCACACAACTGTGCTATCTAAGTTTCTCAAAGTTCGAGACTACAAATCCAAATCAACATTCTTGTTTAAAAGTCAGAATGTACATTCCTCTGAAGGTTCCAAACTGTGTGAGCACAGGACCATGGGTCCTATTTTTTATAAAAAATATAGCAACAACACTGAAAATAAATTATGAATATTCAAAAGAGGACATTTAAATCTAAAACATGTAAAAATATCAAAATCCAAATGGAATCAAAATTGATAAAATCAAAAGATGGTACTCTTTTAAACTATATATAAAATTTAATTGAAATATGCACGATGCGCCACTGTTACAATATGATGGGAAAAGCTCAAATATTTTTACTGACTCTTCAATGGAGGAGGTAAGAAACGTTCATGTTCGAAATTATGTGCTTGAATACAAAAAATATCTTTAACTCTCAGGCAGGCTGGTATCGAAAAATTTGTCCACTGTGACAGAGCATGCTATTTTGCATAGAAACACTAGGAAATCCACACAATTTACTTTTTTGACAAATAATTTCAAGTGTTTTATCCATATCAATGTAAAGAGTAGTTGTATGAAATAATTTTGTTACAAAAATCACCAAAAAATTATATCCATTTTTTTATTTTCTGACAATTTAGTTAAAATCCCCTTTTGGCCAAACCTCTGTCAATAAGATTCCCGTTTTAAGTTATTTTTGTTCAACATCAGTAAAGAAAAACCCTGTGACTCCTGCTTCAAAAGCTTGCCTATTCAAAATGGCCACTATTTTTGTCTCGCAAAATTCCCATTTTGCCCATTTCCTTACAAATTTACAAATAATTTTAGGTTTCCTGCATTGTAAAAGGCCATGTCTTTGTAAAGAGTAGTTGTATAAAAAATTGGCAAAAAAATATATCAGTTTTTTTATTTTCTGTCATTTTAGCCATCAATTCACTTTTGAGCAACACCATGTGAGCCCAGTACCCACGGTACTATTTATTTGTCTTGTGTACGTGATTCTTATCAATAACGCAACAGGATCCCGATTGACATGTTGTACATGTTTGTGTCCTTATACTGTATGAAATGGCTATGATATTTGTTACAATAATTATGTTTTAAGCATTTATTCAAGAACTTGTAGCAATTTTGCAGTCATCTGAAATCATTTCGAGGTTCAATGTGTTATTTCACATTGAGGCCTATTTAATGCAGAAAATTAATTATGAGCAGTTAAAAGTGTTGATATGTCTGTATTACATGTACATATTTTGGCTGAGAGCCTAATGAAGTTTAACAACTGTGTCTGACATTCCTGCTGATTTCCCTTCCAAAGGAGGAGGAATACTGTTAATGTAGATAGGAAAACTGCTCATTTCAAAACAATTTGGGAAGGCCGATGATGTTTGACCTCATTTTTATAAACATCATAATTATTGTGTTTTTGTAGTTTTTAGCTCACATGTTATAATTGCTTACAGTAGTAATATGATAGCATAACATTGTAACATGGTAACAATCTATTTTTAGTCCTATGTTTATAGCATCTATCTTCCCTTGATACTTTTAACATGATTAGCTACTATATACTCATATAATTTAAAGCTCATACAGAAAAAAATCTTGGTTGGTTCTAGGCAAAACATCAGAAAGTTTGATTCACAAATAAACTAGATACACATGGAACTGTTGTACATGTGATACATATTGCTGTTATATATGTTAATAGATATATGTTATACGCATTTAGTTACTGGTAGAAGGAAAACATTTTTGAAAAAATTGCTATACCTGCACGTTATTTTCTGGTACAAAATGAAGTATGAAGGCGTGTGTTTTTCTTTGCTTTTGTCAGATAAGTATCATATCATTTTCTTCTTTTAGAATATCTGGTAATATCTTATAATTATTATTTTCATCGTCCTCCCTAATGGAGTTTTAAAGTTCTTATAGAATTAGTTTGAGCCGTCAACTGTCAACAATTCTACCGCAAAAAATCGTAATTTTAAAACAGGTCTAACAGCGCTAAATATTCAAATATCGAAAATCTGAAATCAAAAGCTTATGTGTCACTGCAATGTTTATTTGGCCTCCAAATTTGGAAAAGATTATAAAAAGGAGAAATGACTATTTTGGAACGAAAAGTGTTCTGCATTGGATTCTATGCTAATTACGGCTTTTTGGAACAACACATTCGAAAACGAGGCATACGTTTGTTCATTTGTGCCTCAAATTTAAAGATCAGTTTCACTCATTATACCTCATTCGAGCCCACCGTGGGTATGTGGCCCAGAATTCATAGTCAAACATATCTCCATATAAAGACAAACTCTAGAGGTTCATACAGAGAGATAGATTCATTTATGAATTCTCTTATGAGTACATGTATATCATATATGACAGGCAGGTAGAAGTGGGAAAATGAGCAATATATGTTGTAGCTTTTCTGAGGTTTGAACATTTAAAAATAGATCAGTTCCCATTTCCTAGGAAGTCATGAAAATGAAATAAGAATGTTCACTTATAGGAAACATTGAAGGAATAGCAATGAGTACTAGTAAACAAGAATTGATAAGACTTCTGCGCTCCCTGTTAAACTGCCACAAAAAGCTTTGTTGGCACCTAACCTTCATTGAATTTTCCAGTAAATTGCTTATAGTTATCAATGAAGCAATTCTAATGAAGGCAGAGGTGCTACACTTTCACAAAAATGCTTCATTACTGGGCTTTTTGTCATACATCCATTCTCAATAACTAGGCACATTTCCATGAGTGAAATGGACCAAAAGTGAAGTTGGTTTAAATGGTTTCAATTTGATGTTTTATCATTTGAATATATGTAAAGTAGCTAAACCGCAAATATCTTCATCAATCTCAAACCCCTTCATGAAAAATTTGCATGTCGAAGCGCATATGATATTATCTTAAAAATGCAAGTCTCTGTCATTAACGTTATAGTGGGGTGTCATATCAAGAGACCTGTATTTTGAGCCAAAGCAATATTCTCATGTTTACTTTTGCACCTAAAAATAAGGATATATTTTGCCTTGATAATGAATCATATATCAGAAATTTTGAAGATGTATAATTGAAACAGACTCACATTGAAGACGGAAATCACAGATGAACTTATTATTCCCTTTCACGAACAAATCTTAAGTGCTACACGTCATTTCAATTTTGAAGAAAACCAGTCTAACTCCGTTACATTTAGCTTTCTTTTCTGATGATGGATAGTATGAAGAATAAAATGATAGCTACGTTTTGGTGTTTGACACAGGAGGCATGATTTAATTGAGATTTATATATCATGACACCCTTGGTAACGTATATGATTCAAAAATAGTAACATCGTAGAATCAGTTATATCATTATGAATAATTGCAAAATATCAACTAATGTTTCTTATATCATGTTAACACTGAAGTTTAAGCAATAATAACACTTGAACAGACATAGTCAAACGCCTAATCATGTTACGTAAATGATGGTGAAAGTCACTAAATTCTAAAATAGATACATTAAAGATAACACCAACCTCAACTATGTATGCAACACATATGTAATTAACTAAGTGCAACATGCGCTACATGTTTTAAAGAAAAAATGCAGGCTTACAGTTACTTTTTCTTTCTTTACACATTTTAAATGCTAAAATCCTTTGTAACGTAAATGATACAAAACTCACAATCGCGGAATCAATACTATTTAGTATAAAATATGTGAATATCGTCAAGAAGAAGCAACGCTAAGTGTCTCCTGATA